AAAAAGAGCACTGTAAGAAGGAATTTTGTTATTTACCTCCTAGATGTCGGTAGGGTTCAGAGGTCCTATTTCGTCAAAGCAGGTGTCAATTTCTGAACCAAAGGTTGGCATAGGTGAGCCCACGGGGGTGTCACTTGTATGGGAAAACAGGCAACAGTCAGATTTAAACGTGCCAGGACCAACGACAAAGAAAGCAACATCTGCCAGGCATTGGCTTTCTTTGTCACTCACATTGCTTAAATCATGATACCGCGGCCATTTTGTCAACAAAGAAGCTGGCCGGGCTGTCCTGGCAAGTGATTTAAAACAATTTTGCTTTTTACAATATTAAATTACCATTTGGATGTATTTAATGCGATTATTCAATTAACTGGTAAGTCAGAAATTACACACAAATACTTTATTCGTAAATACAACTAAGATGTAAACGTAGTTTTGTATTTTTAGATTTCAACTTTTGCAAAGACCCGCCGATAGAACTTGCCTGGCAGCGTACCTGTTTAACTAAACGTATTATTTCCTGATAATAATATCAAAACACGTAAGTACCTCTATAATTTATGATGACAAATGATTTTGATTATGTTTTATGTTATTTAAATACTTTCTAACCTCAAATAATAGTAAGATCCTTGTTTATATCGCACAGCCCGTTCAAAACTGTATTGTCTTCAAAAAATGTTTACAAAACAAACAATTATTACAAAAACAATGTCCTTTTAATCTGATTTATACCTCAGAAGGATGCCAGTAAAATTTTATTAAATCAACATTATATTATTTGGCCATTAATATCCAAAAAGGAGCATATTGCCTTAACTTAAATTTTCTTTTACTTCTCTTAACAATGTTCTCTATATTCTCTATTTTGAGTTAGTAAACTTTTGAACGGGATGTGCGATATATAAAATACATAATATATCCAAGGGTATGATCTGATAAAAGTATTTTTTGATGCATTTTTTGGTTGTTTATGCACGTTGGCTTGGTTTATGTTTTATTCAGCTTATATTTATTTGGTGTAACAGTTTTTTTTTGCCTTTGGAATGGCATGCATTGAGGCTAGATAGTGTTTCATTAGATCATTAAAGGAATTTAAATTAGCATATATTTTTTGTCATATTAGTGTGTTATCATGATACAGGTAGTTGTATCATAGTGCCTTATGCATGTTATTTACCTATTATATGCTTATGTAATGTATTATCAGTAAATAGATGATAACATACTACTAAAATGTCTTTTTAATAGTATGTTTATCTTTCCAATTCACTAGTTATTTGCAAAATGTATTTTGAACTAATTTAAGTCATTATTGATCATCTTTCTTTTTCAGGTTCCGGGATATTCTTTTTCATTGTTAAAAAAATATATATATTTCAATATTATTGTAATATAAATCGCAGCTCTAAAAAGTATATGATATTGTTTACTAATGTGTAATTTATTTACTATGAATTTTCTCTGAAAATAATAAGTCTTTAATAATATCATTGATTTGCTGTGTAAAGTTAATAGACATATTTTTTAATACATTAAATTATATTAAAGTAATAAAAAATATGTTTATTAACTGTAAACAGTAAGTCAGTGATACTTATAAAAATATTTTATTTTTAAATTTCCCCTCTTTTAAGCCCCGCCCCTCCAATTCCCCTCAATTTAGCTAGTACTGCCAGGCGACACCAGGTGGCGTCTGTTTCCATTTTTTAACACGAAGTTAGCATTTCTTTAATGTACCTATTCTCTGGGTGAGCCAAACAGTGCCTTCTATTAAAAGATCAGCCTACGGGCGGACTTTTGTTTACTTCATCAGCTGTACATACTTAGATATTGGGTTAGATTCCGTTTCATATTTTGTCGGTTGATTTTTGGTTTTAACTCTTTGATTTTTGGTATTATTTATTATTGTAGTGCAAAAAACTAATTATTTTGGTGTTGAAGTGACATAAACTACTACCAGATATATGGTCACTCTCGGTTTCGCATAAAAAAAATAGAAATTTTAAAAATTACACGTTGTGTAAGTGATTTAACCTAAAAGTGCCCATACATTTTTTACTTATCGTGATTTTTGTGTGTGTTTTTAAGACTCTAACAATTCATCAATAAAGCTTAAGTGGAGTGTGTTTTTGGTGCTATGCCTCATCTTTGTTGTGTTCCTGGTGGAAAGGATAGTTACTAAGGATAGTTATTATACTAGGCAGCCTAAAGTGTCCGGAAGAGCAAGAAAAGTGGGTACGAGTTATAAATCAAGAGAATTTTATTGAAAATATCTTTAATAAATTAAAAATAATATTCTCCCATGATGGTATTAATGAAAACTGGACAATTATGTTTATTTTATTCATATTGTGGAATCTCCACTCCAAGTGTTGCTGGTTCAGCTTCGATAGATTCAAACACGTAAGTAGGTATTATGATCTAGGGAAAAATAAAGAATATGTGTATTAGATATCATGAAAAAGATTATTATTTTGAGTTCAAATTTTAAAAAAGATTTTTGTAAACACAAGACTGATACAGTTTAAAAGAAGAATGTGTTTTTGTTTGATAATATATAATGTATGTTAAGCATAACATATATTTGTTCAGTAATTTTTAATGAATAGTATTGATTATTTATAATACCAAATTAATATCAAATATTTAAGTGATGGCTGAATACAATATGAATAAAATAACAATAAAATTGGTATATTTGCATAATACAAAATTAAGTTTTAAGAATAAATGTGTTACTAAAAATACTAAGAAATTCATATTTCTTTGTTTTAATTGGTCTAATGTTATTTACATTTTACGTAAGAATTATACCGTATCATCGAAAAAAATCGGCGTCTAGTTGGCTTGGAAATGAACATCGATGACATTCACTAAATAACTGTACACATAAAATAATTAACTAGAATTTTACAATCTTGGAAAATTTGATATTCTTGAACCTTGATTCTAAATATTCTAAATTTTTTGATTTTCTTGGAATTTAGGTTCGGGAAAACGCTGATTGATTTTTTCATTTGGTTTTTCAGTATTTTATTTGGTTTAAAAAACGGTTCGGCTAACATTATAGCCTCCATCAGTGTTGTGTCATATGAAAAAAATAGTGTCGAATATAATCCAAAAAATTGCATATAAAATATTCACACCACGCACATAATGTTTACTGCGTACTCCATAGTCAATGTAGATAATTTTAGTGTTAAGAATAATAATTTTAAAAAATATGTGGTCATCTTTTGATAAGTTTATATTAGTTTATTAATTGCAGTAAACATTATGAGGTGTGAATTATATTGTATATGTAATTTTTTGGATTATATTCGACACTATTTTTCTCATACGACACAACACTGTGAAGGCTATAGTTAGCCGAAACGTTTTTTTTAAACCAAATAAAAATAATGAAAACCCAAATGAAAACTTAATCAGCGTTTTTCCCGAACCTAAAAATCCCAAGAAAATCAAAAATTTTAGAATAATTTAACATATAAAATGCCAGCGATCTTCATTTCATAGCCATCGCTGACGCCTTTTTAGATAATATTGTATTATTTGTAAATATAATTTTTCGAACATTGATACTTGCAAAATATACATATAAATTTTGTGAATGCAAATAATAATACATCACTATTAGTAGATATTAAATGTTTTTGTTAAATTAGATCGATTTTCAAACCCCAAAATTTAAAATATATTTACATTTTACCCATTATCTTATGTACCTATACATTATTTGTACATTGTAAAACATTTGCTGCATTTGTATGGTTCATAGTTTATTTGCCAAAGTATTTATTACTATAAATAGGTATATATGTTGTAGTTATTAACTGTATATTATGTATATTTCATTTAAACTATATCATTTTTAAAATACAAACCAAAAATCTGAGGAATAATTATGTTTTCCATGTATTCTACAACATATTTATTAATCCGTTATATCTAACTAGCGTGACGTCATAAATCTCGCCCGTAGGCTGATCTTTTAATAGAAGGCACTGAGCCAAAGTCGGTTACCGCACCTTATGCACTATATTGGTATTTTAAAGGTTGCCTTAGGCAACTCCGCCATTTTAATACGATTTATCTTTTCGTGCGTTGTGGACGAATCGAATAAAATATCAGAAACCACAAAATACTGCGAATTTCGTTAAAAAACTGTATCTGTTAGGGTTGTAAGCTAATTTTCCTGATAGATTTCGTATATTTGTCTCAAACTTAAACAAAAAAAAAGTTAGGTTAACCACGTAAACTATAATTTTAAAATTAAAACTAGGAAATAAATAAGGGGTTTTGCCATATTTCGAAGTATCATGGTCACTTTCAACAGTAAACTAATCTTCGTTGATGAATTTCAATTGCCGACATCTAAAAACTTTGCAGATTTGTCGAACTTAAATTCACCTAGTTATTTCTTAATGGAGCATAATATATTCCATTTCTAATTCATACATTATTCATTTTGGTTTCCCCATGGTTGAATATAGTAATATTTGACGACGAATATTTTTAACTCTAACCCCAAAATATCGCGAATCGGCATGAAAAACAACTTTTAGCACACGACGTACTACGTCGCCTCAAACAACGTCGCCAACGTTGGAGACGTTGCAGCGACCCTAAAAACATCCACCATTTTGGTGCAAATATCAGTCGCTTAGACGTCGCTTCGACGTTGTCCGGCAACGTTGGGTTGCTCCTGGCGACGTTGTGATTACGTTGAACAACGTAATTTTGCTACTTGGGATATGCAATAACAAAAAAATTAAATCGGAGTATTGTATATGTAATTTTAATAAGGTACATCATATTGATACCTATATAATATTATACAATTTTAATTATTAATTATTTTTTTTTTATTTTTTATTAATTTTTTTTTTATTTTAATTTTGATTTTGTCTTTATTATTTTTATAATACTTAATATTTTTTATTTTATTTTTTTTTAATACTTATTTACTTTTATACATTAATATGTAACTTTAATAGGCTACTGAAGCACCGGTCATAGGGATCGATTTGGGCACATCATTCTCATCAGCTGCTGTGTATCAAAATGGAAAAGTCGAAGTTATACCGACCAAGGAAGGACATAAACTAGTCTCGTCGCATGTATTTTACCATCCAAAGAATCTGGAAGTGTCAGTTGGAACTACAGCTGACCACCTGGGAATAGAATATATTAATAATTTTATATACGGTATGTAGTAATATACACAATGGGTGGTATTAATAAAAATAAGTATTTACTTATAAGTACTTACTTATAAGTATCATCATCAGCATTAAGTAAATACTGAAATGTATATTAAAAAATAGACGCTGATACTAAGAAGTATTTACTGATTATTCTTAAGTATTTTCTTATTTACTCGAAATTTGATTAAAAGAAAAACATACAAGAAACGCACGTCAACACTTTTTTAAACCAGTTTACACTTGAGATGTATACAAACCTCAAAATATTTACTTTTCTACATTTATTTATCGACGACCATCGTGTCGTTCGTTTCGTCCGAAAGTGAGTGCATTGCAATGAGAGTGTTTCAAAAAGTAAAGAGTCGGATGTAACATTTGTGGCCAAATATGCGAGGGATAACCCTATTATTTTAAATAAAGGGAAAACTCCGGCAATAAATAAAAAAAAACGACGTCTTAGACACGCTTAAACAACATTATGAGAGTAAGTTATCATGTCTTATTATAAAATGTTGTAATCTAACTATGAAAGCTTTGTAGATAATTTTGGAAAACCAACAAACTCCAAAAAATTATTAAAAAAAATTAATAACCTGAAGGCGGTAGTAAAAAAAAACTGATGCCAACATAACTGGCAATAAAAAGAAAAAGCTAAGTGCAGCAGAACAACTCATGTACACGGCACTACAGGGGGATCAAGAGGAGTGCAATCCTGTTCTTTTCAAAATACCTGGTAAAATAATTATATTTTTATTACATACAAAGTAGTGTAATATTTCGTTTCAGGACATGTTGCAGTCGGAATCCCTTCTGATGAACAAAAAGAAAAACAATCCGATGAAGTGGCAGGTCCGTCAGTCGCTTCAACTTCAACACTGCCACCACCGTTACCTGCACGTCCAAAGCGACAAAAAATTGTAGAACAATACGAAACGGAGGAAACACGTACGTTAAGCACCACGGAACTACAAAGATTGGTGCTTTTGAAGCAACTGCATGTTCTAAATCTCAAAAAGGCAAAACTGGAGAAAGAATTAAATAAAGATCATGTTCTAAGAGAAGGAGAGAAAACGTATACTATGTTGTAATAATTAGATATATGTATTTTCAATTTAATAAAAATTATGTTAGTTATTTTAATTGGCGTAAATAATTGTGGCTAAACGGTTGCGTATGACTTGACCTTCCCTTCGAAGTTCAAGTCGTCCAACAGGTGCCTCATCTTCGATGTTGTCATCGTCTAAAGGTAAGCCTTCTTCAATTTCAAACACTTCTTCATCTTTTAAATACTTTCCAATATTATGAAGAACACAACATGCTATCATAATGGATGGCACTTTTCTTAATGGCAGTCTAATTGTATTTTGTAATAAAGGGAATCGTTGCTTTAACTGTCCGAAGCATCTTTCGATAATTACACGTTCATTTTTCAAAAGGTTGTTATATGCCACTTCTTCTGCAGTTCTTGGTTCTCTAAATGGGATCATTAAACATTTTTCAATATCATATCCCTGATCTCCTAACAATACTGCATTGTCAAATGTTCTGAATACATCACAAATGTGACTGTTCCTCCAAATCCTGCTATCATGAACAGAACCAGGCCATTCTGCAATAACACTTGTAAATAACTCATCAGCGTTGCATGTTGCTTGTACATTTATTGCAGGAAATTGTTTGCGACAAATGTATTCGTTACCATGATGATTTTCGCCAACTTTTTTAATTCGTATCAACGTACAATCAATTGCACCTATAGCAGTTGGAAAGCGAAATTTTGCTCGCCATTTATCTTTTTCCTGTTGTATCGCTTCATAGTCCTACGATTTCAAAGGTAATTCATTAAATAGATAACAAAAAAGTACAACCATACATGAGGAAACTTTATCCAAATATGAGATTTTTCAATAATTTTTTGGCTCACAAGATGTACCACATTTGATACCGTTGGTTGACTTACACCAATATCTTCTGCTACACCAATCTGGAAGCCTAAAGCCAGATATAACAAAAAGTTAAATAAATGACATATATATTTTAATATTTGCCAGTGTACTAATGAATATTTGCCAGTGTACTAATGTACTAATCTTGATCACGAGGATCTTCTCTTCTGTTTTTATAAACTTTTGCAGCTCCTTGCACGACAAACATTTTATAAACAAATAGGAATACACCTTCAGCAAGCACTATCAGCATACTAAGAAACAGACTTAAAAATGTATAAGAACATACTTAATTTAATAAGTATAACCTATCGTTTATTAATATAGACTTAAGTAGCAACTGGTTAGCATAAGTACAAACTTATACTCTATCAGTACATACTTTAAGTATCAGTTTGTACTTAAACTTTATTAATATACTTTTGTAGCGTTTTTTAAAACCACTACCACTGCGAACGGCAGCTTTTCATCGGAGAGCAGTCGTGGATAAGGTATTTCACTGGAAAGAAAACTAATTAAGAACAATAAACAAAAAAATAGATATTGGGCGCCAGACATGTACAGAGAAACAAAACACAGTTGTATAATACTTAAAACTAATGACTATATTTATTCATGATGAATTCTGATGGTAAATAGCATTGTACAATTTTAATAATTATTATAGTGGTTATTTGTTGAGTAAAACTATGTATGTAAATAATATTAAATATGTTCTATGAAAAAATACAATGCGTGTAACGTTATAGAAAATATAAGAAAAGTAGCATTACTTTATTTAAATTGTTAAATTTTATGCGGTGTTAAATCTGATGTGTTGCAACCTGTAGATTCTAGAATCTATGTCTCGTTATTCATTTGTTAATATAGCGCAATAATAATATCTATAGAAAGTAATACTATTACAAGGCGTAATATAATGAAACCTAAAATCTAAATCACATTGTAACTACTGAATCGACATAAATGTTCTTAATAATCTAACCACTAAATATAGTCTGTACGATATTATTTAAAATGTACGTTACTGTTTAAGACTGAACATATAGAAAATCTAAAACATAAAAACTAGAACGTAAATCTACACTTAGCTGTTCTTTATGTAATCTTGCTTCAAACAGTAGCAGCGTGAGGTGGTCTCGCATCTCTGTACTGTCTGTCGGCGATCCTGTTGGTCAAAACAACAAAAGGGGCGTCCTCAACCTGACACCATGAATCCTTACAGCCGTAGCTACTGACTAGGCTTAGAAATGGGAGTGAAGCAGCATGGGACTCAAGCTACATCCACGCTGTGGCACTTAGATGTAAGAAAAAATCGTTCTTAGTGGGGACACTCGTCCACAGGACATCTTGGACACAGTCCGTAACTTGGAAATAGTCCGTACCTTGGACACAGTCCGTACCTTGGACACAGTCCGTACCTTGGACACAGTCCGTACCTTGGACACAGTCCGTATCTTGGAAATAGTCCGTACCTTGGACACAGTCCGTATCTTGGACGCAGTCCGTACCTTGGATCCTAAAAATATGAAACTCTTGTTTAAAACCAAACAAGGTCTAATAAACAAAATAAACCTACCTCGAAATACTTCCGAGGGCTCAATAAATAATAAACATGTCCTTTCTTCCATGTGACATTCTGGAGGACAAAAGAAAGGGGACGCCAACGTGCCAGCAAAACACAAATACAAGTTGGGACATCCGTAACTCTACCCTAAAAATATTCAATAATAATATCGAATCTATAAAAGGTAATAACTCATCTTTACCTGTAGCCTCGAAATAGCAGCTGATTCAGATTATACAGCAAGATTTAAATAATCACTATTTCTAAAAGCTGGGATACAACAGAGCGTCAAAACAAAGTGAGGTTAAGCACGGAGAGCTGACAGAAGCGATGTTGACAGCGCGCGCCTCCACGGAATAGTAACAGGGTTGTGTCGAACGATAACAGGGTTGGCGACTAGAGAACGTAAAAATTACGCGTCAAATAAACTATCCGGCCTGAACGAGAGGGAATCCGGTGATGATAGGCCAGACATCATATACTATATATAAAAAAAGACATGTAACGAACTAAAAACGTTACACTTTTCAGTATTAACTTATGAAACCGTAAGTATTAAGTATCTATTGATTTTTATTAATACCACCCAATATCTTAGCAGTGGCGTGTGGCGTGTTGTGGGATTTATTATTATCCGACCATACCAATAGGTATGGTAGGCTATTAAGATCGGCAAAAAAAAGTTTTTTAATTTCACTCAAAATGAGTTATTTGGGTCATAAATGACCTAAATACAAAATATTTTCATGGTGTCTGTCTGTCTGTTTGTCCGTCTGTCTGTCTGTCCGTCTGTAACACGATAACTCAAAAACCGCTAAACCGATTTTAACCAAATTTGGCACAAAAATACTGTGGCACCCGAGAATCTGGCCATTATTTTTTGGGGGGGTGGGGGGTTGGTAAGGGGGTATGGGAGGGGGTTAAAAATTTAAAAAAATCGTAACTCCAAAATTACAGTAGCTAGCGAAACGCGGTTTTCAATTTAATTAGGAATTATATTTGCAACAAAATTTGTAATAACATTAAAATCAGTCAAAGTCGCAGTTTTTGAGATAAAAAAAGAATTGGAAAAATTCCTATGAAACTAAAAGAACTGACTACCAACTTTTTTATTAACATATTTTAGTATGGGCGGCTATACGTGCCTCCCGGCGCCAATTTTTTTTTCTATATCTAAGCGTAATGTTTTAACACTTCAAACTCTCTTAAACGTCTTATAACTCTTTCAATATGGATTCTTAGACTTAGTCTTTTGATATAGCCTCTACGATGCCTTGCATCTTGAATAATACTTTGACTTGCAGGTTGGGGATAAGTCTGTTTTCTATCTTGGTGACATGCAAACATTTATGGGGAACTACATCTTTTTCATTTGTTTTTGAACATACACCATTTTCCATTCCATATAATTTGCCATATTTTGCGCCATCTAGAAAAAAAGTACTATTTATTAACTCCATAAAAATAAAAGTGAGGTTAGTTCAACACTTATTACCAATGACTAAAGAATTCAAGGATAAATAACACCCGAGAGCAAATTGTTACCATGGCACCAAACAGTGCTGTGGCACATATTTTTCTTAACTTAGCTGTTGAAGAGATATTTATATTTTTTGATAGTTGTTTTGACTACGCCTATGGTGTATACGGTGGTATCATACTAATTAATTACGAAAAAAACATATTAAAATGTTAACAAAAGGTACAATGTTAACAAAAGGTTAGTATCGACGTATAGCGCACATCAAGTACATATAATATCAGAAAAATGATTATTGAATTCAATAAGGAAACTAAGAAAACGCTAAAAAGGTGAAGAGGACTGTTTATTTACCTATGAAACGTAACTCCTGGCTCTTTTTCTATCGCTGAGGCTTTTACACTTGAAAGCTGAACAAATAATCGCGATTGTAATAAAATTAATACAAAGTTCACTATACACAAACTATTAAAAATCGCTAAAATTGTCGCTGATGACCAGCTGATGACTCATTTGTCGCCATCAAAAAAACGTCTAATGTCACATATTCTGCTGCAGCCCGTATATGGGCATTACATGTTTTTATATTCTTTAGTGATTATTTATTCCTTATTTTCCTGTTTTATATTTGTACTAGCTTGTACCCGCGACTTCGTTCGCGCCGAATTAATCATTTGTAATGGTGATGATAAAGCAAAGCAAGAATTTCCATTAACATACAAACTGGATAAAATTTTCTCACATTTATGTCAGCATGAGAAAAAACAATATGGCGATATTATTATATAACTTGGTAATATTTAAGGGGTAGTTTCATCTCGTTGGAATTTGACTTTCGAAAAATCCGTTTGCCAAAAATAATCTTTTTACGTCAAGCAGTTTAAGCAGAATCGTGGTTAAGAAATTACCCAACTTTTTGGAACACGCTGTATGATTTTTTAAAAAAATTCAAAATATGTAAAAAACAAATAAATCATGCTTGTCCAAGCGTTTTCCCGAAAGACTAACCGTTTTTTAAATAACAAATATTGGAATATTTGATGGGCGTTTTCACCCTCTTGGAATTTGAGATTCGAGAAACCCCTCCTTATCGAACCTCTACACCCTACAGTCAATCCGTTTGCCAAAAATCAGCTTTAAATGTCAAGCAGTTTAAGCAGAATCGTGATTACTCAATTGTAATATTTTATGAAACACCCTGTATAAATTTATAAAAAATCTTAAAATATGTAAAACAACAAAATAAAATATGCGTGTTTAAGAGTTTTTCCGAAAAACTCACCGGTTTTTAAATAAAAAATATTTTAATATTTGAAGGATAGTTTCACCCCCTTAGAATTCGAGTTTCGAAAAATCCTTTCTTATCGAACCTCTACACCCTAAAGTCAATCTGTTTTCCAAAAATCAGCTTTTTACGTCAAGCGCTTTAAGCAGGATCGTGACTAATCAATGACCAGATTTTTCGAAACACCCTGTATACATTTTTAAAAAATCTTAAAATATGTAAAAAAACAAAATAAAATATACATGTTTAAGCGTTTTTTCGGAAACTTGACCGTTTTTTAAATAAAAAATATTGTAATATTTGAGGGGTGGTTTCACCCTCTTGGAACTGGAATTTCGAAAAATCCCTTCTTATCGAACCTCTACACCCTAGAATCAACCTGTATACCAAAAATGAGCTTCTTACGTTGAGTGGTTTGAGCAGGATCGTGATTAATCAGTATGTCAGTCACTTAAGGATTTTATATATTAGTATAGATTTGGAAAAAATCGAAATAAACATGAAACTTCTACACCCTATATTTCCGAAACTAAGCATTTTAGGACATACATTTATACGAACTTTTTTAATTATTTTTATCTGCAGAATATGCTGCCGAAGTTTCCGGAATATAATTCGGACCACCCTGTAGATATGGTTGATTAAATGGCCAAAGCGCGCATAGAAATAAGCATAGCAAACAAACTCGGCGATAATACACTTCTACGCGACTGATTAATTGGTTAAATTAAAGTGGCTTATTTAGCGACCATCAACCTATAAAGGGTTAAATTTAGTACTTTATTTAAATATTGCCACTATCAATCCTAGACTCAATCTCTAGATGCGCCACTGACCACTATTAGTAACATTTTTTTTTATATATTTTCAGATGCCAAGCGGGTTATTGGTCGAAAATTTGATGATGTTTACGTCCAAAAATTGAAAAACCGAAGCGAATACAAGTTCAATATTGTCCGGGGTGAAGACGATAAAGCAGAATACAGACTAAAACATGATGCTTTGACGGTACACAAATCACCGGAACAAGTTAGTTCTGAAATACTCAAGTACCTCCGCGAATCAGCTAGCGAGTACCTTGGAGCTGAAGTTACTGAAGCCGTTATATCCGTCCCAGCTCACTTCAGCAATGCGCAACGAGCAGCAACCAAAGCGGCAGCAGAACTGGCTGGACTGAAAGTACTGAAGCTGATCAGCGAACCTGTAGCAGGGGCCGTCTACTACATGAAAGAGAAGCACGATATCGAAGGTACGCTTTTGGTGTTTGATATGGGAGGTGGAACCTCGGACGTATCCATCATAAAAGCCAGCAAAGAAAAATTCGAGGTGTTGAGTGTAGAAGGAGACACTTTTTTAGGCGGCAGAGACTACGATAACGTATTATTAGATTATTTTATAACAAAAATAACTGAACTATTTGGTCAAAGGTATGTCACTCCAAGGCTTACAAGGAGCTTAAAGGAAAAATGTGTTGTACTCAAAGAAAAACTATCAACACAAAATGAGCATTCTCTAATTTTAGATTGCATTAGAAATGTGAATGATGACTTTCATATATCTTTAACCAGGAATGAATATGACCAGTTAACAAATGCGTTAACTGCTAGAGCTTTAAATCTTGTACAGAAATGTCTCGCTGGAGTAGGACTGTCAAAGGGTGATATAAACGAGGTTATTCTTGTCGGAGGAATGACGAGAATGCCGAAGATTCGCGAAGACCTCCGGATTTTTTTTGGCGATAAAGATCCAAAAACTGACGCGAATCCGGACGAAGCTGTCGCATTGGGAGCTGCGATACAAGCTTCAGTCTTGAAGCATAATTTTAAAGAATTGGAAAAATATATCGTTGCTGAGGTAACGCCTTTATCTTTAGGGATTAAAGTTTCATGGGGTCTGATGTGCGTCGCAATTGAGAAAAATACCCCATTACCGGCAAAGGGATGTTTAAGAATATGCACATTGGGAAATGACCAAAAAAGTATCCAATCCGTAATTTTTGAAGGAGAAAGAAAAAACTGTGCTTTTAATACCCTTTTAGGTGAAATCACTATAGACAATTTGCCCAAAGGAAAAGCTGGTGACGTAGAATTTGAAATAATTTTTTTTCTTAATAACGATGGAATTTTAGAAGTGGAAAAACGCGAGACGAGTACTAATCAAAAGAAGAAATTAACAGTTACATTGGAAAACTATCGCTTGTGTCAAAAGAAAATTTCCGATATCATTGAAGATGCCGAAAAAAATCGCGATGACGATATTTTATTCGAAAAATATAAAGGCACTTATGGAAGAGTTTGGCGTGTTTATGATAATATACTTTATGACATAAAGCAAATATCTTCGGAAACAGATCGAAGTTATGTTGAGAAGAAATGTGGAGAACTAAAGATCAGTTTAAATAATTCCGTTCATACAGAAATCGATAAGTTAATACAAGCTTATAAAAGTTTTCGAATGACCACGGAAGGGATAGTTAACCAGGCGATTCATATAAAATGGCCAAACTTTTCTTAAGTTGCACATCTTTGGTTATTAAAAAAACTATTTTTGTTTATACAGGGTCCGGCAATAGTGCGCATTAGCGTAACTAGCAATTTACCCTGGGGCGGGCCTGGGGGGGCTGAAGTTGAGCACAAGGGGTTCCTAGGGCTTTTGTATTTTTAAAAATGAAAAATAAATTTAAAAAGCACACTTTTTGAATAAAACGTTTACATGAATTTCTCTATCAATAAATTTCATAGACTTGGTTATCAAACCGTGTTCTCCTAGATTACTTAAATACCTACAAATTTTCTAAAAAAAAAATAAAAATTAACTAATTTTTTGAACACAACGAAATAATATTAATTAAACAAAACTAGAAAACGTCACTTTTACTGCATCACAAGCAAATAAAAATTAATACGTAGCCAAGGGTCATAATTCAGGATTTCTCCGGGGGGTGCCCAGCAGCACCTGGGGGGGGGGCACCCCTGTTGTTACGCCAATAATCGTCGGGCATCTGTAGCTTCCTAGAATAAAAAAACTTGGAAATTTAAAGTGCAAATCTAAAGAATGTACTAGGATGTATTTCAGGAAAATATTTTAACTTCTATAGGATGGCTCAAAAAAGAGTGAGGGGATCGGGATGATTTTTGAAAAATTAAACACCCTGTATATTATTGCGTTTTTTTCATATCACTTTACATAATCCTAAGATATGAGTAAATATGTTTTGATAGTTTCAAAGATATTAATGGATAAATAAAAAATATTTATTTTTCAGCCTTTCTTAAAATAATTATTAAAAATACAAGAACTGTCCTCAAATAAAAACTAGATTAGGTATTTATTTTAGATGGTCTGGTACTTACTTTACTATAAATATGGTAATCGTAAATCATACAGGATCTTCAAAATTCTGCGCCAAACTTTCTAAAATATAAAAAATCATTTTTCTTTGTTTTTTTTTAATGGAACACTCTGTATATTATTTTTTCAGTAGATGGAGTATTAAAAAATGAACATTTTTTTTTATTTAGAGTATTTCAAAATTTTTAACGGTTGCGCAGATATTCGCGGTTTTATATTTCATATGGCATTTTCAAAAGCCACCCAATGATTTTTCTCTTGAATTTTTTCGTTGAAAGAGCCATATGAAATAATACTGCGTGTATCTGCGAAACCATTAAAGATTTTGAAATACTTTAAATACAAAAAATGTTTATTTTTTAACTCTCCATCAAATAAAAAAATAATATACAGGGTGTTCTATTTAAAAAAATTAAGAAAAATTATTTTATATTTTAGAAAGTTTGGCGTAGAATTTTGAATGCCCTGTATAGTTTAAGATTATGATATTTATAGCAAAAGCAAGTATAGACTATCTAAAGTAAATACCTAATATAGTTTTGATTTCAGGGTAGTTCTTGTATTTGTAAAAACTTTTGAAGGAAGGTTGAAAAAAATATATTTTTTATTTATTAATATCTCTGAAATTATCAAAATCTATTTACTCATATGTTAGGATTATGTAAAGTGATCTGAAAAGAAGCCAAAAATGCAATAATATACAGGGTGTTCCCTTTAAAAAAAATCATCCCGATCAACTTACTTTTTTGAGCCACCTGAAATACATACATCCTCGTATATACTTTAGATTTCCACTTAACGCACGCACTATTGCCGACCCTGTATATAAAATTTAAGTTCTTATTTTTTACTACTTCTTTTATTTCTGTTTGTTATTTAGCTTTACAAGTTTGTAGTTTGTATTACAGTATTTGAAAAACCTAAATATAGGTTATAAATTTATTTAATAAAATTTTATTAACAAACCAAACCTCCAAGCTGAAATTTTGGAAACTGAAACGGCAAATAACTTCTATACAGAATTTCTTAGTAAGCAAACCAACATAGTATTGTTCTCAAAGAAGGATTCTATAGTTTTTCTCGGTCTATAATTCTGAACATTTTATTTCATGTTCCCCTTGATACTGTTTTTTTGGAGAATAATATGATTTTGTTATATTGCTATTTATTTAAAATTCAAATCTTTCTGAATAACTAACCGATGCGACTTTTAAACAAATTGAAAAAAAGAATTACTTCGGTAGAAAAAAACACTCAATTTTAAGTATTTTTCAGGTTTATCTTGAGTTCCCCTACTAAAAAAAATATAAGATTACTATAAACTTTTCTGCTAAATTAATTCTACGAACTATTAGTCTCCAGATATAGCCACTTTAAAATTAATCAATATATGCTTGCCTAAAACGAAATTATTATACAGGGGTCATTTTATAAATAAAATATATATTATATTATCCAGCTTTTCTTTAAAAAAAATATTAAAAATACAAGAACTGTTCACTCGTTACTCGTTTTTTTAAATGGAACACCAGGGTTAAGAAAAATTATTTTATATTTTAGAAAGTTTGGCGTAGAATTTTGAACGTCCTGTATGATTTACGATTACCATATTTATAGCAAAATAAGTACAGGCCATCTAAAGTAAATACCTAATATAGTTTTTATTTCAGGAGAGTTTTGTAAAATCGCCCTTTTATAGAACTTTTGACGTAGAATCTAGTGGTTTATACAGTTTTCATTTTAAACTTTTTGAAGTTAAGCGACGTTAGGCGATGCGAATGGATGGACGAGTGACCGTTTGGAAACTCTGTCGTGCTGTTGTTTCACGGCAAGAGACTAAAATCTATTGATATGCACTGCTTATTCTCGCCAGTTTGAGGTCGGATGACATCGGATAGATCGTGAGCAGAGTTGATTTTGATACTCGCCAACTCGTAGCCCACTGACAATGATATGGCCGAGGACCGCGGTTCGAATTCCGCTTAAACAAACTAGGCCCCGTCCACATTAACCTTGGCAGCAAAAAGGAGATTTTAACTTAAAATACTTAAATACTTATAATAATACTTAAAAAATACTGAAATATTGACCATTGTTGGGTCAACCCGGGTAAACCAAGTTGGATGTGTGTAGGCTGCTTTAGTCAGTAACAAATAAAAATATATATGTAAAAACAATATATATATATTTGATATACAATCAAACTTGTATATGATTGTATATGATTTTATTTATTTAACGAAATAAATAAGTTGAACGTTCTATATACAGTGTGGGTCTTAAATAAATACATACCTTCAGGGCTGGTAGATATCGATAAAAGAAACATAGTCCAAAGTCCAAAATAACAGATATTTTGCTGTGAAAATTTAAAAAAAAAATATTTTTCTCTTAAATTTTAAAAACCACTGGATCTTACTACATATGTTGTGATATTATGAAGGTATTATGTTTTTTTTATTAAAATTTAAAAAAAATTACAAAAATTTTCAAAGAATTTCGCCAAAAAAACCTCATAGACTATATCCCTAAGAATATTTGCACTTATTTAAGACTTATCCTGTATATATAAAATTAAATTTAATAATTTAATACATCATATTTATAGTTTTTTTATCACTACACTTCATTGAAGCGAATAAATTAAATGGTTTACTACAAATATTGGTTGCCATTCTCATCATCTTTAGCCTCATTCTGACCATATCTGCAAAATTAAAAAAAAACACGTAAATTATAAACAAAATGAAACTTCCCAAAAAGAATCGTAATGCCCATCACTACTAGTACCTACCTAGACTCAATATCCTTGATATCGTCCGGCAATCTGGACTTTTCCGTTTCGGGCAGTGGCAAAACCAGAAGTACCTGAATTGCCGTGGCAACGCCCAGTATTAGCAGAGGAAGAAACACAGCTACGTCTTGAAGAGATATAATTAGTGGTGCAAGCATTGATGTCAAGCGCGAGAACATCATAACGAAGCCCAATCCTGTGTTCCTCAATGCGGTCGGTATCAATTCTCCCGTGTAGAGGTATATGGCTGGAATTGACACCTTAAATTTATAAAATAAAATATTTATATTTTATTTTATTTTTTTAAATTTTTTAATTTTCTATTTTTTTTTCATTTTTTTTATTTTTTTTTCATTATGTAACTTAAACGGAAGTTTTAAAATTATTGTAGAATAGTGGTTCCCTAATATACTTACTGATAATCCAATGATGCCGCAACCAGCAAACAGGATCCTCGGCCAGTCAAAAGGATACACTCCTTTAGGAAATGGTAAGATGAGGAAGAAACACAGTGCAGTAAAAGCGTGAGAGTAGGCTATAGTGAGGCGACGTCCAAAATTGCTCACCAAAAATATACAAAGGAATGTCCCTAAAATCAATATTACACATCTTAGTAAACAGCGTCTGAATAATATAGTTTTTAGCGAGTTTATTTTTTGAAAATAGTCTGACATTATTAATTTTTGAACTATGAACGTTGGCATTCGTTTACGTTCATGTATATTCTTGAAATCAGGACTAATGTTAGTATTAAAGTTTCAAAAAAATTTCTCAGAACTTCGAGAACGCCGAGAAAAATCAAAGATTTTTCTCGGTTCTAATCTCTCTACATTCTAATCCAACATTCTACACTTTACATTCGTCACACTATACTTTACACACTGGTTCCTACACTCTACACTCTATATTTTACCAAGAACAGTTAACCTAATAGGACTGCTCATTCAGCCAAAAGTGTCTGCCAAGTGCATGCGAAAACTCCTCGCTTTGTGACGTCATTGTAGTCCTTGTCGTGGTTATCAGCCCTTATCCGGCAACCAATAATACATACACGTGCATTATTGGTTGACGGATGCAAAACCTTCATTATTTAGTTTATTTATTTAAACACCTTATATGTATGCAGTATAGAAAATTAACTGTATAAATCGTATTTCGGATAATGCATTTTTAAGAACAGCAGTTTCCAGCATCACCTTTTGCAGGCATTCTTTTTAGAATACTTCCATATTTTGCTTTAAAATAATTAATAAACAATATTGTAGGCACTTAGTAAGCACTTTGTCACAATCCACAACACAAAATGAATGTATTTATACACTCTATAGCTCTAAAAACTTTAAAAACAACTTTTGTCACATTTAAAATTGACAAAATAATTAACTCAAAATTTCTCAGCTCTTATTTTCATAAGTTTGCCATAGGCAACTAATAATACACACTATCATGACAAGGACTACAATGACGTCACAACTGTCAACTGAAGCGCGGGAAGAGGCGAACGTACGTCTTATGAGGATGAGCAATCCTATTAGTTTACCGTTCTTGATATTCTACACTCTACATTCTACAGTCTACATTCTAATCCAACATTCTACACTCTGCATTCTACACTTTACATTCTACACTCTAGAATATACTATGTACATTCTACACCCAACACTCCTATCCAATTCTCTACACACAACATTCTATACTTAAATATATACTCTACATTCTAATCCAATATTCTAAACGCATCAGCCTACACTTTACATTCTACTTTCTAATCCAATATTCTACACTTATTATTCTACAATCTCTCATTATAACCCTACATTCTAATCCAACATTCTACACACAACATTCTTATTAGATACTTATCTAATTATACATCCTACATTTTAATCTAACATTCCACACTTTACAATCTACACTTTATACTTTACACTCTACATTCAACATTTTAAATCTACACTCTAAATACATACTATACGTTCTACATTATACACTCTACGTTCTACACTCTAGATCCTACAATGTATTTTCAACACCCAACATTCCAATCCAATATACTACACTCAATAATCTACACTTAAATACTACACTCTATTCTAACCTGACATTCTACACTTTGCATTCTACACGCTACATTTTCAATTATACTTCTACATTATACACACTCGTTGAAGAAACAGTGTCCTGTTAAAAATCCCGTGACAATTCGAAGATTGTTCTTAATTAAACCAAGGAAAATCTTTTATTTTTCCAGGCCGTAAGTTCTCACAAATATCTTCGAGTGTCTTAGACCGTTTGAGGATTCCCAATCCAGATTACGGATGGAGCTTTTCTGGTCCTTTTTTCATTTTATTACTTATAGTGTTAAATAGTTTTTAGTGTCGTTCTTTTCTCTCTCTAACTTCGTTAATTGAATTAGACTTTTAATTTTCTACCCTTATTATTAAGCCTTTCAAAAACTTAGCCTATCAAAAACTTTACAATATCTTCAGTGATAAACAGTACTATTAGTTTTCTATATTAATTTACCTGGTAACACAGTAAATCCTCCTAAAGCAACGTTGAGAAATAGGTTGTTTCCAATAAATCCCATATACTGTGTGAAGGCAAAGAAAGTAATACCAGCTATTGCCCTAAAAATCAGATAAACTAATTCATTATTAATTAGGAACGTAAATATAGTAAACATTGTATAACCACTCTAAGTTTACTTATGTCTCTGAGACTACTTACCAGTTGATACACAACAGTATGGTTCTTTTACTTAGTTCTCTGGTTGAAAACAGCTGTTTCAGTTTACCGTTATCTTTACACGATTTGTTATGGGTGATATTTTGGAGGGTGTCTTTGAAATTGGGCATGTCCCTTTTATTTTCTTTGGCGGCGAATATCAGCTCTTTAAAAGCTTTGTTCTTTTTCCCGGCCACCAGCAACCATCTGGGAGACTCCGGTATTAACCTATAAGAATAATAGTATATTACATACCGAGGAGATTAACTAAATCTCGAGGCAATAATGAAAACTTTCCTCCGAGGTTTGTATAGTAGAGTAGAGTAACTCCAAAATTACAGTAGCTAACGAAACGCGGTTTTTTTTTAAATGAAAGGTATATATGTCTAGATTTGTTATGAAGTATTTTTAAATTGTTGAATGGCTATTTCTTTGTGTAAATCGACTAAATATTTAAACATACCTGAAAAACACCTACACACAATACCTCCAGAAATAAATTATTTGTCATTGTCAGTGGTTTGTCAGTTAGATTATATATCAAGTTTTTAGATAATTTAGGGATCAGTTCATACAGCCAGCTTTAGATACATAAATATTAGAACAAAGGTTCGTTTAAACGACATTAGTGAACTAGCTACACAAAGCGATTTTAGGAAATTCATCCTCTTAGATAGGAGTATAATTATGTCGGAACAATTTGTTGTATGAAAATTCCTTACTATGTGGTCTAGAAGAATGAAATGCTACAAAAAGAATTAGAAGAGATTTTTGAAATTCATCAACTAAATGGGTAAAGTTACTAAAAATTTATTTGCACTTATTCAAGACTTGCCCTGTATAATACCCAGAAAATCGACAATTGATAACTTTCATATGAAATACGAGTAGCTCTAAAACTCTTAAAAACATAGTTTAAATAGGACATTTGTAAGGCTCACTAGCTCTATATACAAAGTAAATCATTTAAATCAATGCATGAACTATTCGAGGTGAAACGCGAACGTAGTCGCGGGAAAAACCTAGTTTATAATAACATCAAAATCAGTCAAAGTCGCAGTTTTCGAGATATTAACATATTTTAGTATGGGCGGCTATACGTGCCTACCGGCGCCAATTTTTTTGTATAAACTTACCAGATAAAGCTGACAAACAAAAATGACAGTAAACTTATCGTTAAATGAAACTTTCTCCAATCTCTCAGAAAGTATGCCACGATGGACATTACGCTGTTTCCCAAACCGAACGGTATTTGGTATAAAATTGGTATAATGGTTCTCCATTTTCCTTCTACGATTTCGATGCACAAAACGAACGATGTAACCATTGTACCTCCATTGGTTAACGCTAGGAGAAACCTGTAAGAAAATTAACCTTTGAAGAAGATTAAGAGTCCATTTCACTAGTCTGGCTAGGTATTTTTACACAAATGAAGAAGGAAATTAAAGATAAAGGTTTATACTATGTCAATATTGTAGCACATTTCTAGACAACAACTATTTTTAAGAGTTTGATGGTCAAACATCAACAAAATATTGCTTATGTTTGGACTAAATTTTCTCGAAAATAAAGACACAATTTAAAATTCCGTTACAATACGGAAATAGATTGAAGTTTTGTGATTACAGTGATATATAGAGTTTCTCACCGTAGCCGTTCGTTAGAAGTTTTTGAGGTTAGGAAAAACTTAGAAGTTTGAAATTTTGAGACTTTATAGACTTTATAAATATTTTCAAGGTCACACCACTTCCGGTTACACCGGAAGTCGCCATTAACTTCCTTATTCTAAATGGAACACCCTGTATATTATTTTATTTTTGGATTTCTAAGAAAATTTCACACCTCTACTTTTCAACCAATAACATGCTTTAATGTTGACTAGTTACCATGGCAACTGAAAAAATTTCCGGAAATTTTTTCGAGGCGCCACGAAACTTTAGTGGAAATTTTTTGACAGTTGAAAAGGTAAACATAAGATCTACAATCATAATGTGAATGAACTACAATGTCTATATATTGAAATATTACCTGAGTTTTAGCATTTGATGTAACTAATTAAAAATATAATAATATTTGTTAATATTATTAACAAATTGAAATTATTTTAAAATGTCATGTTGGATTAATATTTTTTTTTTCAAATTTAGGTGTGAAATTTTCTTACCGAATACCACGCAAGCTTAAATTATTCCTGGAAATTTTCTTTCGGGCACGAATATTTTAGGAAAATTATCCCTCGTCTTCGACTCGGGATAATTTTCAAAATATTCGTGCCCTCAAAAAAATTTCCGAAAATAATTTAAGCTCTTGTGATATTATAAGTGAAAATTTTATGGTGAGTTTCATTAGGTTTACCTATACCTATTTTCAACTGTTTATCAGATATCTTGATTTATTTGAAAATGTTTACAGATTTACCCCTATTTTTAACAGTCGGTCTTTTTCTCATTTTAAATCGGTGATAAACGCTTCTGCGGTAAACCGAAGCAGAGGACTAATACTTTCGAAATACATATTGACAATTAATTTATTGCATACAGGGTGTCCAAAATTTGATAACTGATTAGATTATTTTCAAAATAGTTCAGACAGAATTCAATTCTGCATCCATTTGCTATAACTTTCCCTATACCCATTTTTAACGGTTTTCTTGTTAATCCGTATTTTTTACTTTAATTCAATTTTTGGCAGAATCGACAATATCGTTTGTGTTTTTTAAAAGAAAATAATTATGTTAAAGTAAAGAAATTGAATGTAATTAGAACATACGAACAAAACAAAAGTGAAAACGAATAAAATATAACATCACACAACAAATCAAACGTATTTTCAACAGTAACGGTGAGGCATTAATTATTAATACTAGACGTTGAGTGTATCCCTGTTAATAATAAAAGTTAACTCAATAATTACAAAGTTTTCGTTCATAGCGGTCACTTCGAACAATAATTTTGTAATTATTGTGTTTTACTTTTTATATTTTATACGTTTTCACTTTCGTTTTGTTCCTGTTTTGTTCGTATGTTCTAATTACATTCAATTTCATTACTTTAACATAATTATTTTATTTTAAAAAACACAAACGATATTGTCGATTCTGCCAAAAATTGAATTTAAGTAAAATATACGGATTAAAAAGAAAACCGTTGAAAATGGGTATAGGGAAAGTTATAGCAAATCGATGCAGAATTGAATTCTGCATCCAACTATCGAAAAATATACAGGGTGTCTCATTTAAAAAATGGACTTTTTTGAGTTTGAAAATAATCTAATCAGTTATCAAATTTTGGACACCCTGTATGCAATAAATTAATTGTCAATATGGATTTCGAAAGTATTAGTCCTCTGCTTCGGTTTACCGCAGAAGCGCTTATCACCGATTCAAAATGAGTAAAAGACCCACTGTTAAAAATAGGGGTAAAAATGTAAAAATTTTCAAATAAATCAAGATATCTGAGAAACAGTTGAAAATAGGTATAGGAAAATCTAATGAAACTCATCATAAAATTTTCTGAGAAATCCAAAAATTAACTAATATACAGGGTGTTCCATTTGAAATAAGGAAGTTAATGGCGACTTCCGGTATAACCGGAAGTGATATGACCTTGAAAATATTTTTAAATGAAAGGAAATTTTAAATAACCCTAAGTCTCAGGGTTTCAAACTTCTAAGTTTTTCCTAACCTCAAAAACTCCTAACGAACGGCTACGGTGAGAAACCCTGTATAATTTATATGGTTTTGGAAGAAATTGCCCGCTATTTTATGGCAAATACTGAAGCTTTGCAAACCTTAACCAAGTCTTAATCAAAGCACGTGTGTTTGGAATTTTGGGTGTCTCTTAACACTACAGGATCGGACTAAAGCTTAGGCAGATAAATTAAGAATTTTTACTTACCTAAGTAAAATAAATAGCCATAAGAATGGACTGAAAGATGCTAAAATGCCAAATATGGATTGGAAAAATAAGCATATGACCAGAATTCGTTTTCTTCCATATTTATCTGCAAGCACGCCCAATATTATGTTGCCTAAAACAGATATAAATCAGTACACTGATTAAGCAATCATTTTTGACTGAAACTGATTTATTTAGTGTAGAACTTACCTAACAAGACCCCAAACATAAACACAATTTGCGACAGATCGGTAAATTTTTGCTTGTCACAAACTAGGTCCCATTCTGTCGTAATAGATGATAAAAACATCGATGTATCATAAATAAATCCATTGGTACAAGAAATTAGATCTTCAGAAATATTATCGATATTAGAAGATTCTACGTTTCTTATTAAACAATGCCCTTGGTTCAAACCTTTCTAAAAAATAATTCTTTTAGGCTAGAGCCAAATATGTATACCGATATATCGTATTTAATTATTTCATTGAGATCAGTGAAACAAAACTTACAGTTGGAGGTTGAAGCCTTTGGTGATACAACAGCAAAATAAAACAATATTTATCACAATACACCAAAACACTACTCTTACCCTGGACGCGCGTTTCGCTAACCATGTTAGCATCACCAGCAGATCATTAAGACTAATATCTACAATTTAGTAGATATTTAGATATCAGTTTAGTTTTAATCATTTGCTGATGATGCTAACACAGTTAGCGAAACACGCGTCCACTGCAAAAGTAGTGTTTTGGTGTATTATGGTGAACTAGTGTTTTATATTGCTAGTGAAACAAAGTAAAAGAAAATGTGGAGTTGTCAAAGGATGAAATAATTAAATATCAATAATTAACTTAAGAAATTACTGCTGAATTGGTGTTGTTGGGTTCCATAAGCACCCTCCACGTTTCATCGGTGATGTTATGGAAGTCTTCAGGTTTTTTGCACCAAAATTTCGTAGACGGTGCTAGAAATACTATGCTAAGTTGGAACCAGGCTATTGGGAGTTTTACCAAAGCCATCAGCAGTGATATTCTGAGTTGCCATCGTCCAAAGTCTCCCACTACTGTTCGTATGATGTCGTTTTGGGTTTTGTCTTGATTGGGAGGCACTTTTAACGATGTTTTTGATTCTTCCATAACTAAAAAGACGAGATTTTTTGCAATGTAGACATAATTCGTATCTAAGAATCACTGGCGCATCCATAGATTGAAGCGTACTGTAACTATGAGAAAAAACAAACTTGGATTGGTCCGGATTTTCTAGTTTGATTGGTATTATTAATGTATTTTGTGTTAATTTTATTTTATACCACATTTTCTTATTCATAAATTTCTTCCTCCGATTACCCAAAAAGAGGAAAAAAAACGATGAATGGCTATTTTTTACACATTTTCAAAAGCCTTAGAAACGCAGCCGTAAAATTATGAAAACTTCAGTATTTGTAGGAAATTTTATGTAGATTTAGAATATACCGGGTGTTGCATCGTCGGCCGGGACATAGGAAATCCCATGTAAATTTTAATGGGGTTAATTATTGGCTTCCCTAATTATTTTAGAGAATAATTCAATTTAGGTTTATTGAAGAGCACTAAAACCCACATTCAAAAGAATAACTTTAGATACTTTTGATTAGCTCGTTTACGAGTTATCGCCGATTTCTTTTTAAATATTTCTCCTTTCTTATGGCCCTGTATTTACTTATGAGCACCAGTCAAGGTAAAAGATAACTGTCAAATGAAGTTATTATTTCAGAAATTTACCTATTTAGTGCTTCAATATTATTGAAAACTCATTCCTACATCGGAAATCTTAAAGATGTATTTATAAATACAAATTAATATAAATTAAAGTAAAATAAAGTAATCAATTACAAGGTTAATTATAGTATTATTACAATATTCAATAACTTATTAATTTAGGTACTATTAAATTGTTAGAACTTTAGGATATAAGAAGATGTTCAAATATTCCTCCATCGACTGCTAGAGAATAACCCAGGCGATCATAAAATTCTCTTCTTACATTCGCTAGTTGGTAAACTGAAATTCTATTGCATTCGGCAGAAATAGCATTTTTTAACTCGTCTAGATTTGAGTATTTTTTATCCTTCTATATCCTGTTTTTTAAATGGCCCCAGAGAAAGAAATGATTTGGCGAAATATCAGGAGACCTTGCTGGCCAATTTACTGTATGATTTAGGCCAATAACGTTTCCGTTAAAACTATTGTCTAAATATTCACGAACAGCCAGGGTACTGTGCCGGGCAGCCATCCATTTGGTACCAAACTTCCTGATTTTCCCTAGCGGCATCATGTAAAGCAGGTAAAATATGATTTTCGAGTAGTTCCAAATAATATTCTGCATTTAAATTTCGCGTAAGAAATAATGGCCCGATAATATTGTGTCCGAATATCCCTGCCCAAACATTTACTTTCTGTGGATATTGCGTCCTTGTTTCGACAAACCTGTGTTGGTTTTCTTTGTTACAATATCGATAATTTTGAACATTGTGTTCATTATTTAAGGTAAACGTGCATTCGTCAGTGAAACATATGCTTTTTAAAAATTCCCTATCCGTGTTTTCTCTTTCCATCATATCAAAACAAAACGCCTGCCGCCGTATTTCGTCCCTATCTCGTAGCTCTTAGTGCTTTTCATATTTGAAGGAATAGTATTTATGTCGTTTCAAAATTCGAAACGTTGTTGTGTGATCTATTCCTATTTCATCCTCAAGTTTCCTTGTGTTGATCTTTCCATCGTTCTCTTTCACGCACAATAAAACTTCCAAGTCGGTATCATTTCTTGCATCTTCTCTTTGTTCCTGCCTTGCTTCCAATCTGCAGTTATTTATTAGGGTACCTTTGGTCTCAAATCTCTGGATATTGCTTGCGATTGTAGATTTTCCAGGTATCGGACTATTCGGATACAGAGCAGCAAACATGCCCGACACCTTTTGATAACTATTTCCTTGATAATACCATTTCATCATTAATACTTTTTCTTCGGTAGTGTAATTCATGGCTAATATTTTCGATGTAGGTATGAGTTTTTAATAATAATAAAGCACTAAATAGATAAATTTCTGAAATGATAACTTCATTTGATAGTTATATTTTACCTTGACTGGTGCTCATAAGTAAATACAGGGCCATAAGAAAGGAGAAATATTTAAAAAGAAATCGGCGATAACTCGTAAACGGGCTAATCAAAAATATCTAAAGTTATTCTTTTGAATGTGGGTTTTAGTGCTCTTCAATAAACCTAAATAGAATTATTCTCTAAAATAATTAGGGAAGCCCATTAAAATTTACATGGGATTTCCAATATCCCGCTCGACGATGCAACACCCGTATACACCTGTGAAGGTTTAGGTACCTTTGGTTTGTGAAGCAATTAATTTTTTGAACCCTTGTTTTTCACCTATTTTTGATTAAGGTTAAAACGTTTTCTAGATTGCTGTTTTCGTCAGTGGCGTATCTAGAGCTTGAGTCTGAAAGGGTTAGTGTCAGTATTTAAGTGAAGTCCCAAGTAGCAAAAAGAAATTCCAAACGGATTGAATTATTTTATAACAGTCGAATAGCGTTGTCTTAAGGAGTGCTTGATTTTATTAAGCGTTTGGTTTCGACCATTCTGTTTTTTAATAAAAGTTGTCATATTAAACTATTTTCTAGTGGTTTTTACAACGTATCCTATAACGCATTAAACGATAATTTCTTTTAGTATGATATAACACTTAATAAGACAATGCTATATGATAACAAACATATTATTTTATTAGACTCTTATACCCACCATGTAAGAGTTCTATAATATTCATATAACTACTAGTCACAAGACCATATAATAGTTACTTAAACTTGTCTTATTAAAGTTGTTCTGATAGATGTTTTATTGTATGATAGAATGTTTTATTGCGTTAAACTACGGTGCTGTATACAACACCAGTTATATAGCCTTATGTAATAAAATTGTGATTAACAAAATAAATTCGCTGTAATATCTGCATTATAAAACTGGTATTGTATAATATAACCTCATTTTAAATTAAATGGTATACCTAGTTATTTATTTTGTTATTGTTGTTGTTGCAAAAGTAATATCTACGTACGAGTATAATCTATCACGGCTATTATGAATTCTGGACAAAGTTGGAAAAAAGTTAACAAACGCAGTGGTAGTTATAAAGAGCATGTAAGAAAAAACTCCTCGAAATTACGGCAAATAATCCCGAGAATTCCCTGGGTTCTCAAAAGCCAAAATCTCTCGGGTTGTCCGGCTCTTCAAAGCATTGTTGCCACGTTGGTGTAAAAGTTTTACTGTAGTAATGTTTGTATTGTTTTATTGTTGTTTTTCCAAGTCCTTAGGTTGCCGCTCACTCGTCGGGCACGCATGAAATGCATTGCGTGCATGAATCCATGAAAATCTGATCATGTTTGTTTGTTTAAATACTAATCAAATGAGATTTGGCAACATCTATTTGTCTCAAATCTCAATATGTCCAAAATAGTTCTATAGTGCCTGGAAATTCTGCGTAATGATAGATATTTATCCTATATCGTTTTATTTTACAACAAAGACTTATTTAAGGGATTCATTTATAATAAAATGGTTGCATTATAATTCGCCATGTTTAAGGCAGAATTTTTGTATGACCTATGGCCGCCATTATATGAAGCAAAATTAAAAACATCAAAATACATTGTAAAATGTTATTTTTTGAGAACTATTTTGTGATAATATTCCCCACATAACAGTAATAAAGTGTTTAATTAAATTAAAAACAAGAATTTTTGAAAATTTTATTTTATTTTATTGTTTAAATTTATATGTAAACCTTAATCGAAATTAAAGCGCTTTAATTTTTTCCAAATACATAAATGTAATCTACCAGTAAAATTTTCGGCGCAACAAAAATTGTCCCTACTTTTAAACCCTATTAATGATTTTTTATATTACATATTTGTTGTACCTTCTGGCTCTACCCGCCATTTTCATTGTAGAGTAAAGTCTCCTTTTTTAACAATCCACATCCTCTAGATTCATTTTACGACACGCTTAAAATATAATTTGCTCCTAATATTTTCGGTAAAAAATAAAATACTCTTGTACCTCGCTAAATGATCAAATGTTTTTATTGTTCTGTTTCTTAGATGTGACCACGTAATACACAATAAAACTAGTTTTATAATAGTCATATAATGCTGTGTAAAATAGTTGCATAAGAGTTGTATACCCTTTTTATAGAACTTCTATACTACTAAACGGTTGTATAAAAATGGGCCTTTTTTGGTTGTAAAGCTATCATATTATGGTCATATAGCACGTTATATGAATTGAGGTATCCTATAAAAATTATCACATAGCTGTTTATACAACCTTTATAAAATAAAATTTGCTACTTGGGGTACCAGATATAAGTTAAGTAAATTTGCGCTGAAAGATTTTAGGAAAGTTATTTTTGATTGGCCTGGGTTTTTATTTTGATTGCTATGATTAATTCCTTTTATGACAATTTTATTTTATACATTTTAACATATTTATAAATTTCATTCTAAGAGGTATACTTAGCCTCATTACCCCTCTCGTATGTGCGTCTCTGTATGGAGTATACTACACTACATTTTAGCTTGGTATATTTTTTTATTATTTATTTTATTAAAATGAGTTTTGAATGAAGACGCTGTCATAAAATAATTTGTTTAAAATAAATAATTAAAATATCGTTATATTTAAAAAAAAATTGAATCCCACTGTATATTTTAACGATATGCAAGTATTTTAACGATATGCATGCTCTATCATTGCATGCACAGTTTATATATAAGTTTGAAGTTTGAAATCTCAAACATGAGATTTGAACTTCGGGTTACCCTGTATAATACCAAACAATACATTACAATTTCTGTGATTTTCGAATTAATATAATGAATATTAGAAAATAAAAAATTTAGCGAACCAAAACTAAGGTAAAACTAAAAATCTTCAAACGTTCTGTATGATTATTTTTAATTTGTTTTTAATTTTTACGTATGTTACGTTCTTTAAAATCAAAGAAGCGATTGCCATACATTACTAACATCTACAGATGCATGAGCAATACATTTATTTTTATTAGATTGTATTAAAAAAACCTCGTTTATTTTTTTTAGAGGCTATCGCTTCTTTCATTATAATTTTTGAGTTGTTAAAATCTATTCTGTGCCCTGTATCCCATGAATGCTGACAAGTCTTAGATTTGTGAAAGTCGCCCATTCTTAAATAATCTTTATGTTCTTTAATTCCAACATTTAAGGGTATAGATGTTTGACCAACGTAAAATTTGTCAATTTGTTTGATGATTGTTTGATGATTATATATATCCTTATTATAGTTATAAAATATATTATAAAATTAACATTACCTATTACTTATGTATAACTTTGATCCAACACTTATTGTTTACACATTTATATTCACAAGATAACTAACTACCGCAATCCAACGCTGCAACAAGGCCACTTGAGAATTTTCTTGGTGAAAATTATTTGTATGCAAGTGAAAGTGACCATTAGATACTATAACTAGTTTGATATATCAATAAGAACGCCATGTTATCAAATGTCTATTTTACTGCACTTTCAAATCTATAGCTGCGTTCGACAGATTGCTCCAAGCCATATTCATTTGTTGTACAGGGTGGTTCTTAAATAAATGCAAATATTTTCAAGGGTTAGTTGATGTCGACAAAAGAAGTATATTTTCTAATTTTTTTAAAAATAAATAATCGATTTATATAAAGATTAATAAATGCAGTATTTGTATCGTTTTAAAATGGGACAAAATATTCAGTAAGAAATTAAAGAATTATCTATGTACCCCGACGGGAGTTATAAAGTGTTAATAATCTTGGGCAATTATTTGCAGGAACTTTGCCTCGGTTTTTAATACCCTTATAATTCCCTTGATACATAAATATCTAATAATCATCACATAAACCAACTTAAATAAATAAAACAGAAACATATCTGGTCTTTATTTATGATCAACATTCTCTATCATCATTATCTACCAATTGTAAAACTCAAACACCCCTACCACCAATTAAAGGGAAATAGAAGCTTCACCCTTACTAGTTAGTAGTTACACTCACCGAAAACATTTAAATTCGCTTTGAATAGCACTCGGTTGCATTCAATTATAGAGTCTCTCAGTGGCGTAACTAGGTTCACTGGCATCAGGCTTCATTTATATAAAATAAAAAGTTATAAAAAATCATATGCAGATGTTAAATCCAGCCCATTCACTGTGAGGTTTCTGATGCACCTCTTGAAAATACTATACGATCGAAAAAAAAAAAACGGCGTCAAAGACGGCTGGGGAATGACGATCGATGATAATTTTGGCGAGGTCAGGCCATAGACGTCATTACTTGTATTTTATAATTGCTCTTATTGCCATTTGGCCTTAAGAGGGTTGTAATTTATTTTTATATTGAATAAAAATGATTTATAAATAATATTGTTTAAAATTCGAGAAAAAATATTTTTTTGGGAATAGATTGAGTGTTTGGATTGGTTTGGTTAGCGTTCTATCTTTTTAATCTTTCTATAATTAGTTTTAATCGTTGACAAGTTTTATGTCAATTTTTAGTCTTAGTCCTAGGTAATATACTTACGTGGATAAATCAACGCCATAAGTTTAGCATTAAAAAATATATCTCCAACATCACGACATGCCATTTTCAAGCTTTCTTTATTGCACTTATGAAACGTTCAATAGGTTTGTCTTTTCCGGGGACCTTACTTTGCGCATGACCATTACAAGTTGCAAGTATTTCCAAAATAATCACAATTTTATACGGTTTAGAAAGTACAAACTATACAGTACGTCTGCTGGATCTGTGTCTATGAAAGGAATGCGGACAAAAAACATTTAAATAAACAGCAATATATTTTATACGTCGACTTGACGAGCACTCTCACTTTATTGGCTACTTGCAAATTTGTCGAATTTTTATTGATGGGACGCGTCGTCTAATTTTTTACGAAAAACATCGAGAGAATATCGTTTCCCCTCTCACGGTTACCCCGTAGCTACAGAACGGACAGACGTACTGTACAGGGTGGGTCAAATTTGACGCTTTTAAATGGAAACACCCTTTTCTATAGGAGCTCAATTTTTGTCAAAAACATGATGGCGAAAACCGCATATCGATATCTGTTACCGTTTCAAAGTTACGGGGTGTTTTTCAAAAATATGCATTTTTAACAAATCGCCGTAACTTTTTTGCTATGGAAAATTTTGTATTTTTATGAAAACATTTCCAACGCACCTTTTTACGTATAATTTAATTATCAACAGAAAATTTGATTTTTTATATGGGACACCCTATATATTTTTAATTTATTGAAAAGAATTTAAAATTACCTTTCCAAAAATATAACACACTTGATATTTTCCTCGATTCCTCTTCGAGATATAGAGTATATAAAAATTCGCCCGCTTTAAATAAGTAGGCTTTGAACGGCACCGGCCGTAATGCAAAAAAAATTCTAGCTGTGAGCATGAATTAAAACGAAAATAATATTTGCTATGAGAGATGCATAATTTTATGACAATTTAAAATATATTTAACCAACATCAACACATTTAAACTATATCTAATAACAATAAAAATAAATAGCAAACCAAGACATGAGATTTTGCTACAATAGGTGTTCGACATATCGACCGTCTTCTGTTATGGACAGACGGGGCAGTTTTTGAACATTTCTCGCGGAATTCATTAACTCAGTGGGGGTGAAAGATACCCTCTCATAACTCCTAAATACTTCTAATTCTTGTCTAGATTATACGGGCAATTTAATAATAAGGACTGAAAAATAAGACTTCTCTCATAACTGCTAAGTATTTCTAATTATTCTTGTCTAGATTAAACGGAAGAATAAGGAACCTTTATTCTTTTGCAAATATATCCATAGGATTAGATCCATGGGCACTAAGTCAGGCGGCCTCTCGACGGCAAACGGCTGGGATCTTGGTTAGCTATTCAATTATTCTTGAAATTGGCTGCAAAAATTTGCTGATAACTTCAGCGTTCAGAGGCCTTGCTGGAAAAATATGTTTTCGAGTTCCAGGCATATAAGGGCATATCATGAATAAAATGTACACCGACATTTCTCGGACGGGGCACGGACGGGTTCCGGCGAAGCTCGGCCCGTGCTCGGCTTAGCATGAATGCATAGGTATAAATAACATTTGACAATGTTTGGCCGTGCCTTCACCGTCGCATGGCCCCGGCCCGTCACGGTGTACCATGAATCAGCCTTAAGGGGTCCAACGCCTACTAGTTAAAAGTGGGGAACTTTTAAAAATTCTGTATTTCGAAGGATTATAACAAAATATCAAGTGTGCTATATTTTTGGAAAGGTAATTTTAAATTCTTTTCAGTTAATTAAAAATATAGAGGGTGTCCTAAATAAAAAATCAATTTTTCTGTTGATAACTCTTAAATTATTAATTTTAAAAAAATTATACTTAAACCATTAAATTCTACGTAAAAAGGTGCTTTGGAAATGTTTTCATAGAAATAGAAAATTTTCCATAGCAAAAAAGTTTAAGCGATTTGTTAAAAATGCACATTTTTTAAAAACACCCCGTAACTCCGAAACGGTAACAGATATTCATGTGCGGTTTTCACCATCATGTTTTTGATGAAAATTGAGCTCCAGACACCGATATTAGTTTTCGTCTATCTCCTATAGAAAAGGATGTTTCCATTTAAAAGCGTCGAATTTGATCCACCCTGTACATTGTTATGGAAATATTGCGTTTTTTATTTGAATAATTGTATTATTCTTTTATCGACCGCTTTTATATTGCCAAGGATGCAAGGGTGATCAGTGAGAAGTTAATTTTGAGTTTGTGCAATTATATTCCTATTTTTTTTTTCGTTGGACTTTCTAAATACTCGTAAAAATGACTAGAAAGTGTTTGGTGTGTCGAAGTTCTAATATAAAGGTCCCCAAATTATCTTTTCATAGGAGTATGTAAGTAGTAAGTATTCAGTTGTTCTTTTATTTATATTAAACCACAACTTTCTGATTAGATTTCCTAAGAATATTGATATTTGCACGGAGTGCCTAAATGTATTTTTTATATAATTTTATTTTTGTGACAGTAAACATTCAATTTATTGTTCAAATATATGCATTTTAAAAATTAAATTTTTAAAATTAATGTTCAAATTTGGCCCGTGGACGATAGGTCTTCGACAAAGATAGATAGAGTAGAAGCACCGCGTGTGCAACAAAAAAAGGAGATAAATGGAAGTCGTTGATATGTTTGCGATAGTTTTCATAGTTATTTACTTATCCACGTAAGTATATAATGATCTAGGGTCTTAGTACATTTTTAGTGCATGTCTATTCCCCAGCCGTTTTTTTTCGATCATACAGTATTTACACCTTACTGGATGTGGGTTCTGCATCAAATACCATAACTACAGTACGCCACTGGCGCCAGCGTGTCCGTATGCGACCCTTAATTTGGGGATAACTTCCAGCCAATTAGGTATTGAATCTCTATAGAAATTAGACAAATAGGGTAGTGTGTGCTGTTATTGTCGGATTAATTTTGTATATAAAGTACTTGTAACTGATGAATAGATGGAAACCATAGATAAAAGAAATAAACTTAAAATGGAATTCTCGCCTTCCCGCCGAAACTTATAATTGAGGGGCTTAGAATAAAAAGGGTCCAAGTGACTTTTTATTTAAATAGATTTTTTTTTTACTTAGTTTTTGTAACAGCAAGGGTTTGAACTTCCAACCCCCAATTGGAATCATGTTTTTAATCTGTTTTGTTTTTACAGTTTTTAATATACTTGAGGGATTTCATACAGGTGTTTATACCGGGTGTTGCATCGCCGGGGCATAGGAAATCCCATGTAAATTTTAATGGGGTTGTAGGGAAAATATTTGTTACAACTACTTCGAACAACTTTACAGGGTCAATTATTGGCTTCCCTAATTATTTTAGAGAATAATTCTATTTAGGTTTATTGAAGAGCTCTAAAACCCACATTCAAAAGAATAACTTTAGATATTTTTGATTAGCTCGATTACGAGTTATCGCCGATTTCTTTTTAAAAATTTCTCCTTTCATATGGCCCTGTATTTACTTATGAGCACCAGTCAAGGTAAAAGATAACTGTCAAATGAAGTTGTCATTTCAGAAATTTACCTATTTAGTGCTTCATTATTATTGAAAACTCATTCCTACATCGGAAATGTTAAAGATGTATTTATAAATACAAATTAATATGAATTAAAGTAAAATAAAGTAATCAATTACAAGGTTAATTATAGAATTATTACAATATCCAATAACTTATTAATTTAGGTAGGTACTATTAAATTGTTAGAACTTTATGATTTAAGATGTTCAAATATTCCTCCATCGACTGCTAGACAATAACCCAGGCGATCATAAAATTCTCTTCTTACATTCGCTAGTTGGTAAACTGAAATTCTATTGCATTCGGCAGAAATAGCATTTTTTAACTCGTCTAGATTTGGGTATTTTTTATCCTTGTATATCCTGTTTTTTAAATGGCCCCAGAGAAAGAAATCATTTGGCGAAATATCAGGAGACCTTGCTGACCAATTTACTGTATGATTTAGGCCAATAACGTTTCCGTTAAAACTATTGTCTAAATATTCCCAAACAGCCAGGGTACTATGTGCCGGGCAGCCATCCATTTGGTACCAAACTTCCCGATTTTCCCTAGCGGCATCATGTAAAGCAGGTAAAATATGATTTTCGAGTAGTTCCAAATAATATTCTGCATTAAAATTTCGCGTAAGAAATAATGGCCCGATAATATTGTGTCCGAATATCCCTGCCCAATCATTTACTTTCTGTGGATATTGCATCCTTGTTTCGACAAACTTGTGTTGGTTTTCTTTGTTCCAATATCGATAATTTTGAACATTGGGTTCATTATTTAAGGTAAACATGCATTCGTCAGTGAAACATATGTTTTTTAAAAATTCCCTATCCGTGTTTGCTCTCTCCATCATATCAAAACAAAACGCCTGCCGCCATATTTCGTCCCTATCTCGTAGCTCTTGGTGCTTTTCATATTCGAAGGAATAGTATTTATGTCGTTTCAAAATTCGAAACACTGTAGTGTGATCTATTCCTATTTCATCCTCAAGTTTCCTTGTGCTGATCTTTCCATCTTTCTCTTCCACGCACAATAAAACTTCCAAGTCGGTATCATTTCTTGCATCTTCTCTTCGTTCCTGCCTTGCTTCACATCTGCAGTTATTTATTAGGGTACCTTTGGTCTCAAATCTTTGGATATTCCTTGCGATTGTAGATTTTCCAGGTATCGGTCTATTCGGATACAGAGCAGCAAACATCTCGTCCGACACCTTTTGATAACGATTCCCTTGATAATACCATTTAATCATCAATACTTTTTCTTCGGTAGTGTAATTCATGGCTAATATTTTCGATGTAGTGTGAGTTTTTAATAATAATAACTTTGAATAAGAAGACTAAGGAAGGAGCATAATGCTATCCATATATTCATGCATGGTGGGCGGAAAAGCCACCATAAAAGCTCTCTAGGGTGGGGATCCTTGACAGTTCTGTTTGACGATTCATTTGACACATTTGAATTTGATTTGAAATTTTGTGGATTTGTCAGTCTTTACGGAGCTTATTTTATGTTATTTATTATTTATTCTACTACTGATAGTTGTATAAAGGTAGTAAATCTAGATGGAAATTGTGGCAGAACTTAAATTAACAGTGACACTATCGCGATTTATCGAAAAAGACTCTAAAATAGTTGGTTGTGTAGCGTGCGGTAGATCTCGGCAAAAATTGAGTGAAATAATGGAACAACTTTTCGCTAGTAAGTGACTATATAATATACATACGTGTAGTAAACCGATCATTTATGAAATTCACTTAAATTAACTAAATGTATATTTTTTCTTGCATTTTAGCTTTTATTTATTACTTGTCAAAGAATTTAGATACGTTAATTTGACTTACCTGCTTCAGTAGCGTATCGGATGTTTGTGTTAATAAATACTTATTATAACTTATCTATTTTTATTAGAATTATATATTTTTATAACAATTTTAATAACTACCAACATTTATTCACAACGTAAAATAAAACAACAAATTATTGAATCTACCCCACGTCTACCCTACATCATAGTTTTACATTTTTTAAATAAAATTAGAACGACACTGATAAACCGGAATTTAAGTCGGCCATATTTGAGGCCCATCGCGGTGTACCTAAGATTTTTGATATGCTCCTTCCTTAGTCTTCTTATTCAAAGAATAATAATAAAGCACTAAATAAATAAATTTCTGAAATGACAACTTCATTTGAGTTAAGCCGGAGTCTCATGCATCCGAAATCCGATGACACGACGATCCGACGGTGCTCCTATTGGTCGAAATATTTTGACAACAATTTTTATCCGATAATTTTAACTAATCATCCGACGTCGTATAAAGTTAAATTTTGCTTAACTTTTGTACGATATCGTGTTTTTTAACCTCACTTTTTTGGAAACATTTGTTTTTAAAACAAGTTTAGTGGGAAGTGGGCAATTTCGGGATATTTGGCGAGGAAGTTATTTTTTAAGTGTTTCTCCAATAAAACATGACATGAATCTCTATTCAGCGCAGCAGAAAAATGTTAAAACTGTCAAATTTCGGAACGAACTTTCGGATGTATGTGACAGGCTTTTTTTTATTTCACACGATAACTTCAAATTTCGGATGTCGTACCATCGGATTTCGGATGCATGAGACTCCGGCTTTATCCTTTTAGTTATCTTTTACCTTGACTGGTGCTCATAGTAAATACAGGGCCATTAGAAAGGAGAAATATTTAAAAAGAAATCTGGCGATAACTCGTAAACGGGCTAATCAAAAATATCTAAAATTATTCTTTTGAATGTGGGTTTTAGTGCTCTTCGATAAACCTAAATAGAATTATTCTCCAAAATAATTAGGGAAGCCAATAATTGACCCCGTTAAAATTTACATGGGATTTCCTATGTCCCGCTCGACGATGCAACACCCGGTATAAAATAAAGTTTTTCATAGGTAACACATTGTATTTTATTCGTTTTAAAAGCGTAGGTGGATTTTAACATGTAAAGTAAAATATAACAAAAACTCACAAATAATAAAACAAAATTTATTTATTTCGTTGTTTAGGCAAGATAAGTACAAAAATATCAGACTAGATCTATCCGTCTTTATATCAAATTTAACATATAAATCTATTTTTATACAAAACAATAATTATAATATCAAAAAGTGTGTTTTATAATTAATTTCCTAATCTATGTTCAAGTCATCTTCGAATTTATTTATCTAATAATTATGTTTAATTTAATTATTAAAACTAAAATTATATATACACATCTACAGGGTGTAAATTAATAAGTGCAAAAAAAGTCAAGGCTAAGTAAAACTAATTTCCTAAAAGAAATTTTTGTATTTTTGGCACTTATTCATTCAAACCCGGTATATTGGGTCTAATTTTTATGTATGGCTTATTATACAGAGTATTGATCGTTACAATCACAAAAATATTAGTAAAATCAAAAAAAAGTCAGATATAGGTAGATAAATGATCTTAAGGTTGTTTTAATTACTTAACAACTAAAGAGAATATTATGTGCATATTTATTATATTTTATTTTTATCTTAAAATTGACATGGTATATTATATACTACACTTTTATTAGTTACTTGAAAAATTTTAGCTTGCCTTAAGATCATTATTTTACCTCCACATTATTTTATTTTAATAATATTGTTACATATTAAATATTCTATATTTTGGACATTGGTACATTGTCAGTTTAAATTTATAGAGACGAATACGAGGATAACTTATTGAAAATTAGAAAAAAAACGGCGTCAGAGACGGCTGGGGAATGACAATCGATGATAATTTTGAGGAGGTCAAGCCCTAGACGTCATTTACTTGGCCCGTGCTCTTCTTTATTTCTGAATGGCGCCTACTGCCAGTTGGCTTTAGGAAGACTAATTTATTTTTATATTGAGTAAAATTCTTTTTAAATGGTGTAGTTTACAGTTCTATAACTAGTGTTAATTTTGACAAGCTTTATCCCAATTTTTAGTAAGCGATGTCTAGAGATTGATCTGGCCAAAATTACCATCGATTGTCATTCCCCAGCCGTCTTTGACGCTGTTTTTTTTTGGATCATACAGTATTATCATCACTCTGTTATAATTTTATCTGTTAGTTATCTCTTTATTTGCTAATTACATGAGGTGTAACAAATATGAAATATGATTTTAGTATACCATACGGTCAAAAAAAAACAGCGTCACGGTAGCCTCTGCAGTAACATTTAATGATAATTTCCGTTGGGACGACCTCTTGGGCTTGTAAAAAATTATTACTTACTTGAAAAAAAGTTAAAATTTTTCAGCTACGTCAATCATTCCAAGCAAAAACTTTTGACTCATTTTTAATGTTAGTTGCTGATAGGTCTATTATATTTTGAAAGCTATATGACGCTGTTTTTTAGGAATCTGATATTATCAAGTTGAAATTGGAGTAGGCAATGATTATGCTAGTTGAGTAACAATTTTGAGCTAATCATTTTTACACATATCATAAAATTTGTTCTAATAACGATACACATATAGCCGGTACCTACGGTCTAAAGTATGTCATGACATGTGTCAAATTATATTGATGAATATCGATATAGAGGGTGCTACAAATTCGAGGTACGAGCATTGGTATCTCGGTAACCTTAATAGTTCCTTATACTATGCTTAGACTATATGTACCGGCTGTATGTGAATCGTGGTTCTAATTATAATTAGATTAGTTAATATTTATTTACAGTTCCGTTGTGGTTTCTATAGGAGATCGGTCACCGTACGGAAACCCTAAATGTATGTTGTTGTAGTCTTTCTTTTCTTTGAACATGACGTTGTCGTTGGTAGGACTGGTGTTCATGTCATCCTCGTCTGACGATCTGAAACAAACGTCAAGAGAAATTATTAGAGCCGATTTACACTATATTTTTCATCATCAAAGCAATAATAGCAATCCAAATTATAAAACAAAAACCATAAGCATGTATTAGAGCCTTAATAATTATATTCATTTCGAGCCTTTTAATAAGAGCCAGATAATACTTTCATTTTCTAAAAGCGCCTCGAAATAACTCGATAAAAAATTGCGGAGAAGGGCGTGGGCGATTTTCTTGTCTCCTGTTGTCTCGATCAATTTCCTTTTGTCTTGAGCCACTTCCACAACGTGTTGGTTACTATACCCGAGGCAAAGAACGTTTTTTCATAAACTGCTGCTCTTTTACTTTTTCCTGTAGTTGCCGGATTGAGAATATGGAATCGACGGTACCGCGATTGGTGCGAAAACCCGTTTGCGATTCTGGGAGGATTTTTTCTACATGTGGGTGCAGGCGGTTTGACATCATTTTTGCAAGAATTTTTCCTCCGATAGCCAGTAGTGAAATTCCTCGGTAGTTTCCGCAGTCTGATGCACTTCCTTTGTTCTTAAATATATTCACTATATTCGCATTGCAAAAGTCCTGAGGTACCTCTCCGCTTTCCCATATGACATCAAAGAGAGCCTTAAGATGACCAATAAGTTCTTTACTTGCACACTTATAGATTTCCGCCGGAATCGCGTCACAGCCAGCTGATTTGTTGTTTTTAAGCTGTTTTATGGAGGTCTTTATTTCCTGTTCTGTTATTGGGATGTCTAATACATCGAGGCTGTTATACTGAAGTAATATGTTGAGTGCTTCCATATTGGGGTTGTTTCTTGGTTAAGGATATGACTGTAATGCTCTTTCCAGCGGTTTCTGATTTGCTCTTCCTCTTTTAGAAGTTCGCCATTTTGTGCCATGATTGGGCATCTTGCCTTCTTGGTTGGACCGTATACTTCTTTTACAGCCTCGAAGAATTTACGATAGTCGTGATGCGTGGCATACTCCTGAATTTGACTAGCTTTTTGCGACCACCAGTTATCCTTTAGTTGGCGCAGGTTTCTTCGGAGCGTGTTGTTGGCCGCCTTAAAGTTGTCTGCTAGTCTTGGATTGTGTGGATTTGCAGTGACGGCTTGATGTGCTCTATGCTTTTGTTTCAACAAAGCCTGTATACGCGGTTGATTTTCGTTAAACCAGTCTGGTTGTTTCTTTTTGTTGGATTTACCCAGTACTGCTTCGCTGGTTTTGTGAATCGCATCTCTTAGTTGTGTCTAGCCATGTTCAGCGTCCACGATTGAGATTGAAGTTATCGGTGGAAGTGATTCTTTGATAGCTTCCCGGAGGGCGTCGGCGGTATCGTTGTTCTCTAGACCCCGTACGTTCAATCTGGTCATGTAGCTTTGCTTTTTACAGTGTGGATGTTTGGGTTTTAACTGGATCAGTGCCAGATTCGGCATCTACTCTGGCGTTTGTGAGACTGACATCTTTTAGGTGCGTCTTTCGAACGATTAAGTGGTCCAATTGGTGCCAATGGCCTGATCTCGGATGTTTCCAGGTACCTTTAAATTTATCCTTCAGCAGGAACCACGTATGAACGTATATTAAAATATAATAAATCATTGTATCAAGTTTTCTTCTCTAGCTTGTTTTATTTTAATTAAGTAACATTAAAAAACTTTAACTCTCATTTTCTCCATAATTATCTTCTAGGACTTGATCCAGTTCATTTCTGAACTCCTCATATATTGCACAAGAATAATAGCTGAACAAGCGTTTATAATACGTATAGTAAGTTTAAAAACAAAACTTTTCACTAAATCGCAGGAATATAATAACAATGCTATCTTTGTTTAAGGAGTTACCAAGGATATTAGTCTAACTTCGGACTCATAAACGTGCGCGTGAGTTTAATTCAATTTTCACTGCACTTATTAGATATAGAGTATGAATTTTTGGTTTCAGAGGATCTTGGAGGAATAGGTCATTAATTCTAGACAAGACCACTAAAGAATCAGAGATAATTATCATTCTAGTTTGATTGTATTCCTAGACGACAAATGATAAGGTTTTCAAGATCGCAACATGTTCTTTGAAGACAGCTAATGCTCCATGTCCCAAAGTCCATTGGAAAGCTGACCCGTTGATAATATTAGCACATCCAGCACTATTTTGTGTAGAGCAGTCATCAGTAGAATGTAGAATGAATTAATCACCGCGGCCTTATAGATTATAGATAATCATACAGTCTCAGGGCTTTGACAGAAGGTTAGTATCTGAGACGATTTTACAGAGGTTAGTTCTCCATTGCCGATATCCGTCGTACCCAAGTTCATGGCACGAATGGTTGTCGACTCAGTGAGTTTAATGATGAGGTGTTCTGGTGTTTCCTCATTTTCTCCACAAAATCTACATTCGCCTTTGTTTCTTAGCTTCAATCTACTGAGACGTTTGTTGAGGAGGCAGTGTCCTGTTAAAAACCCCGTGACAATACGAATATTGTTCTTAGTTCTTACTTAAATCGGGAAAAAAAGTTGATTTTTCTCGGTCGTAAGTTCTGAGAAATTTCTTCGAGTGTCTTAGATCGTTGGAGGATTCCCATTCCAGGTTCATGAGTTCTGCTTTAAGTTGGTTTTCACTTGGAAAGCAGAACGGTTCTGGTTCACTTAGTAGAGTGTTCGCTCCTTTTCTAGCCAGATCGGTTGCTTTTTTTTTTCATTTTTCATTGCCTTCAATCCCTTGGTGGGCTTGCTTAATTTGTTCATCTTCTCAAATGATCTTTAACCAATTTCGAATTGATGGTTACTGACTTGATCGTTTTTAATGCTGCTTGACTAACGGATGAAGGCTATTTTTGAGCCATCATAAATGATAATTCTTGCGTTGGTTGTACTGATCTAGGATTTTCTGGAATCGATATATTTCAGTTGACGTGAGGTTATTCAGGACTAATCATGTTATAGATGTTATTTTATAAATGTTAATTAGCAAGAAAGCTGAATTAGAATGAATGTTACCTGTATATGTTATCCCTCCTTAAAGTATTGTTAGTATTTTTAATTAGATGGTTATCGCCCACGCTAGATGCCCTAGCTGTCGTCGCGGACTCGCTACTTATTGGGCTGGCCTTATCTGAAATATAACAACATAGATCCATACACAAATGAAAGCTCATGAGGGTTATATTATTTGTGACAATGTTATTGCATTAGATTTGTCTTATTAAAATAAAGCAAAATATTAAAAATTTGTTATTAAAAAATTTCTTATTGAGTAAAATAATACACCAGATCGCCACAATACACCAACACATTTTACTTTTGCATCGGACGAACCATGTTGTAACGATTTTAGTAGGTAGGTTTATTTTGTTTATTAGACCTTGTTTGGTTTTATACAAGAGTTTCATATTTTTAGGGTCCAAGGTACGGACTATTTATAAGGTACGGGCATTATCCAAGGTTCTAGTAGTATCCAAGGTACGGGTAGTGTTCCCCTGTACCGTTATCTTATGGACGGACTGTGTCCAAGGTTATGGTCCAAGTTACGGACATTATCCAAGGTCCTAGTAGTGTTCCAAGGTACGGGTAGTGTCCCCATATTGCCCCAGCGTGGATGTAGCTTGAGCCCCATGCTGCTTCGTTCCCATCTATAACTTAGTTAGTAGGTACGGCTGTATCAATTCATGGTGTCCTCATTCTGGCCCCTTTTGTTGTATTGGATGGCCGAGTACAGAGATGCGAGACCACCTCACGCTGTTACTGTTTGAAGCAAGATTACATAAAGAACAGCTGTGTGAAGAAAAGTGTAGATTTAAGTTCAAGTTTTACAGTTAACATTTAAAACCTTTTCAGTCTTAACTTAATAACGTACATTTTAAATAATATCGTACAGACTATATTTAGTGGTTAGATTATTAAGAACATTTATGTCGATTTAGTAGTTACAATATGATTTAGATTTTAGGTTTCCTTACATTACGCCTTGTAATAGTATTACTTTTTTATAGATATTATTATTGCACTAACATCATATAAAATATATCAAATTAATTAAAGTAATGCTACATTTCATATATTCTCTTAAACTTTACATGTCTTGTATTTTATCATAGTTGTTTTCATAGATATTTAGTACAATTCTTAACACCACTTTCGTTGACATATAACCACTATAATAATTATTAAAATTGTACAATGCTATTTACCATCACAGTCCATCTTGAATAAATATAGTCATTAGTTTTAAGTAATATACAACTGTGTTATTTTTCTCTGTACATGCCTGGCGCCCAATATCTATATTTTTTTTTATTGTTATTGATTAGTTTTCTCTCTAATGAAATACCTTACCCACGACTGCTCTCCGATGAAAAGCTGCCGTTCGCAGTGGTAATGTTTATAAAAAACGCTACAATGTTAGCATCACCAGCAGATGATTTTATCATTATATTATGATTAAAATCATTAAAATCATCTGGTGATGATGGCAACATGGTTAACGAAACGCGCGTCCAGTGCAAAAGTAACGTGTTTTGGTGTATTGTGGTGATTTGGTGTATTATTTTGCTGTTGTAACATCAAATGTTCCAATTCCCAACTGTATGTAGTCTATGGGGTGATTAGGCTATCAGTTAATTGGCTTGTACAAGCCAGATTGGTACCTAAAGGTGGCTACATACACTACTGCAAGCTTGACAAATCTTGAACAATCTTTTTGCACAAGCATGCATAATTTACCTTCGCCGCCCACGGTACATGCATGCCTAAACAAGCTTCAATTTATGCCGCGAAAAAGAAGAAGGAAGTCGGAAGAAAAAGAAGAAGGAAGTCCGCGAAAAAGAAGAATGAATCCTGAAGGCATCTTTTTAATAACGGCATCCTTATCGGCTTGGCTGTCAATTAATCTATACTTATTAAGTAAAATTTTGTATGCTGCATCCTTCTTCACCCTATCATGATATTCTGGTGATTTAATTCGCCAAAGACACGGCTGATTTTCGTATGCGTGAATAAAATCTTCCAGTAATGCTCGATTGCTCCTTTTCAGATCGCTAGACATGATGGCGACGCGACGTACAGGTCATTTACGATCAAGCACCGAACTAATTGTTTGTACAAGCTAAATATATGTGGTACACACGTACCGTTTCGCTTGCGCAAGCATTGCTTGTCCAAGCTTGCATGATTCAAATTCAATCAATCATCAAGCGGCTTGCACAATTAAAATGCTTGCGCAAATTTTCCCTACAGACGCTACAGTTTGCTTGTACAAAAAGATTGTTCATGCATGCTTGTCAAGCTTTCAGTAGTGTGTGTAGCCACCTTAAAGGGGTGTTTAGACTCGCAAATTGGCTTGTGCAAGCTACATTGGTACTCTTGGTAGTATTTTAATTTATTTGATAAAAAGTAACATTTTGAATAGAATATATACATATGTCAATTTTTGACATGCATTCTCGCTTAAAAAAAGTATTTTAAATTTCAAGTTAGAGTACTATGTTGAAAAACCACTAATTTTTTTTTGAACGAGGGTGGCTCATTAGCATATTTGGAAAAAGCATTTTTTTAGGAATAAATTGGTAGGTATTTGGATTGTCGTGGCACTCTAGATTGAAATTTAAAATACAGTATTTTTTAAGCGAAAATAAAAATAAAGTAAAAAAAAATACCGAGGGTACCATTTAAAAAACAAAAATTGTAGTAATTTCCATTGAAACAGAAAGTGACTGAAACTAACTGAATAAGCCAATCAATCCTGATTTATGTCATATACTAACATCCTAAATCTCGTTTTTTTTTATCTAAAAAATAGAAAAGTTATAGAGGTAAGTCAAATTTGAAAAACACCCGGTATAACAAAAGGAATAAAAAGTTAGAAACACCCAAAACATTAATATAATTAAAATATTTTTTTAAACAGAAATTAAGCTAGTACTTACCGTAATTTTTCAAATTCGTATCCTTCCCTATATAGCTAACATTTTCCAAGCTAAAAGCGTGGTTCTTGTTGCTGAAATCGATCTGCAGGTCGTTGTAGTCCTCTTGGTCGTCCACAGGTACCACCATTTGGAGTACTTGCGTCTCGTACTCTTTCAAGTTTGGCTCGACGTATACAGTGTCGTACCTGGCCGGACTGGCCGGTACGACATACTGTCGGCCGTTCGAGTAGTGGTCCTTGAATGACTTGTATCTAAAATAATATACCAGGTATGAAATTTGAAAGGTTGCTCTAGGTAAGTTAAAAAAAAAATTCGGTCAAAATTTATTATGATTAGTATAGTTCATTATGAAAAATAGAGCGGATATACAGGTTGTTAACTGGACAGTTACTTATAGGAAAACAGATTGGCAACACTGCCTATTGAGAACGCATGCATTTATAGGGTTTTCTGCCGACTCGTCCCGTCGCGTCGTTTATCGACCAGCGGGCCGAGGTTGCCATATTTCAACCATAAAGCTCTTGCCGCGAGTAATAAACAAATTAACAACCTGTATACAAATTAAATACTAAAAATAAAGCATAGCATATACGGTAATCGCAAAACATTTTCCTATATACGTCATCAATCACATCGAAATTGACATTAAAGCCTATAAACCTGACTAAATTAAATTTTTGCGTTGGTCACATTGTGCCGCGATCAACAACGTTGTCATTTATTATTTGACAATTATCATAATGCCTGTCACTATTTTGCATAATATTGTGTTGTATAGTCTCTGTGAAACGAATAACTTTGAATTTGACAGTTCCCGCGCTTTTCTAGTGTTAATTTTATTAGGTTGGCAACTTGCAGTCATGCTGACGCAATGCCGTCTCTAATAGAACAACCTCGGAGCGAGAATTATGATGTCACGCTAGTTAGATACTACGGATTAATAAATACACGGAAAACATAACTATTCCCCGTATTTTTGGTTCGTATTTTAAAAATGATATAGTGTCCATGAAATATATACATAATATACAGTTAATACATATATACATAATAAATACAATGTATATACCTATTTACAGTAATAAATACTTTGGCAAATAAAAATATGAAACATACAAATGCAAATGTTTTACAATATACAAATAATGAATAGGTAGATCAGATAACGGGTAAAATGTAAAATATATTTTAAATTTTGGGGTTTGAAAATCGAGCTAATTTAACAAAAACATTCAATATCTACTAATAGTGATGGATTATTATTTGCATTCACAAAATTTATATGTATATTTTGCAAGTATCAATGTTCGAAAAATTATATTTGCAAATAATAAAAGATCATAGAAAAAAAGGCGTCAGCGATGGCTATGAAATAAAGATCGCTGTCATTTTATATGTAAAATTATTCTAAAATGTTTGATTTTCTTGGGATTTAGGTTCGGGAAAAACGCTGATTAAGTTTTCATTTGGTTTTTCATTATTTTTTTTTTGGTTAAAAAAACGTTTTAATATAACCAAAAATACGAGGAATAATTATGTTTTCCATGTATTCTACAACATATTTATTAACCCGTAGTATCTAACTAGCGTGACGTCATAAATCTCGCTCCGAGGCTGTTCTATTAGAGACGGCATTGGTCTGATATTTAGAAATGTCAAAAGCTGATGACCTTTTACTTTTGACAATTATGACATTTCGTGTTGATTTTTGCAAGAAGAAGAAGAACTGTCACTTGTTTTATTATTTTCCTTTTCTATTTCACGAAAGTAAAAAGAGTTACCTATCTGATTCGTTCAGGCACTCAATTTAAAGAATATCAGTAACTTTTTTGATAGAGGGATTTTATATTTGCCATGTTGGTAAAAAATAACGATCAAAACTCAAAGTTATTCATTTTATAGACCATAGTTGAATCTTTGGGAGTAATTCTCGTTTTTTGCCAATTTTCATAGTCTTTTTTCTTAAATGGTACTTTTATACACAAACAGTTCTTTTAAAAACTAAATTTTCGAGTTTTTGTATTGCATTTCTTGAAATTGTGTGTCGAAAATATGCCGAAGCATTTAAACAGTCGAAGCAAAGAGCTTGTAGCTTTCCTGAATTCCTGATAAACTATTTTGAACGAGAACGTGAAAATAAAGATCCTTTATTACCCTTGACTGCAGTCAGAGAAGTAAGTTTGATTGGTAAGCACATTATATCACTTTCGAAGTTATTCCTTATTTCGATTTGTAGCCGAATAGCTGCTGCCTTAAATTTAAATATTAATACTGTGAGTGTTACTGACTACTGTTAATAAATAAATAAATTACTAAAATATTAATTATTAAATTAAAAATAAAACGTAAAATCTTTAAAAAATTATATAATAAATATCTTGTTTCCCAATTTTACATTAAGATTCATCTCATAAATCTATCACAATCTGGAAGCGCTGTCGCCATCGCTTGTCAATCAAAGTTGATCACGTGCATCGGAAATTGTTTTGCGATTACTTTATCTTACCTGGACCATGAAACGCATATGTAAATAATTCCTACACTGCCCAACACAAAAATAATACAGGCAATAATAATCAAAGCATATGGGAACACTTCCCCGTTAAAGGAAGCTATCGAGGCCGATTTTATTTTGGACAGTACAAGAGGTTCGTGAATGTTGAAAGCCGTGTTCTTTATTTGAGCTGTTATGTCGAAGGTGATATTGTCCATCGATGATTTATCCAGTATCATTCTGAAAGAGAAAATATATCAATTTATAAACAAATAATTTGTCATTTGTGAAACTAGAAATATACCAGTTTTAATCATCTGGTTAGCGAAATAATAAGTTCAGTGCAACAGTAAAGTGTTCTGGTCTATTGTGCTGAATTAGTATTTTATTTTGTTCTATATCTCTGGTGTTATTTTACCTTTTAACCAGTGAATGGTTTCGGGGTAGGATTTTATCAGTTTCTGGATCAATAACGTAGAACCAAATATCAGTTCCTTCTTGGTCTATCTCTAAGGTTCCGTTAGCTCCTATGAACTCCCTGAAGCCTAATTTTTCAACACCTGTATTGAAAAAAAAATAAAAATCATGAATTATTTACATTAATTTTTTGAAAGAAAACATTTCACAAAATAAATAGACGATAAAGTAGAAACAAAATTATTTAAATAAAATGTGAAGAAATTTTTAAAAAAAGAGTTTTCTTAATTTTAAAAAGTCATTAATGTCAACATTATACAGGGTCGCTCATATGTATGTCAGCGGTCGATTATTAGGTAAAATATAAGAAGTACTGCAAAAATTTAAATATAAAAGTTATAGGGATTTTAAATATCTATTAGCGGTTAATACATTTAAGTATACGGAGTCGGTCATTAAGTCGTGGCACATCAAAGTTTCAATTTTTAAATGGAACCCCCTGTATATTATTGCATATTTCGGTTCTTCCTTCAATTCTAAGCAAAAATCAAAATACACACAATGCACCTCGAATCAACCGTTTCCGAGTTCTTGACTTTTGAAAATATCACTTAAACAATTTGATTTAATTAATTTCGATGTGTTCAGTTTCATTTAACAATGCCATTCTGCTGAAACTGTGATACTTAATAATATATGTGACATTAGTTCTCAAGTTAGCATTTATAGATGTATAAAATGAGATTATATCAAGTCTTGAAATTACAAAATTTTTGTTTAACATTTCAATTCTTCAATTTATGTACAGGGTGTCCCATTTTGGTTGAAATCATACGGTATCTCCGTTATTAGTGAAGATAGAAGGGTGCGGTTTGCACAAACCTGTCTCACTTTTTTATCAAACGGAAGATGCCGTAAACAAAATTTTCATAGCCCTCTTCGTTTCCGAGATACAGGGTCTTTATGAAAGTTTTGCAATTTGGGACACCTCCTGTATCTCTGTTATTGTTAAAGCTATCGAGAAGGTGAAAATTGTTTATTGTAGAACTTTTTACGTAGAATACAGTGGCGTAGTCTGTTTTTCTACCAAAAAAATATTTTTGAAAATATGAACTAAAGTTATGTTTTTTTAAATGGAACACCCTGTATATTTATAAATCATATGATCTGTCTTGCCATAAGCTTCTCAAAAATATATATCACTCTATATTTATTTTCACTATTTACTGCAATATTTAAAAGTTTTTATTAAAAGATCATATTTATTAGTAGGCCATGATTGATAATAAAAGAAACAAAAGAATTATTAAAAGTATACTGCTATCTCTGTCTTGTTTTGTTTTGGGAGCTGCTAATAAATTCTTTATATATTAGGGAAACTTAATTCTCTACCGCTATTTGTAAATCTTGGAATACGTTTATACGTCAGAATAATCTATCGTATCGGAAATTTTAGATATTCCTTTAGCTAATTTATGTGAAATATACTTTCAGCAAGATGGGGAACATTCCCCCTCATAACTATGGAAATATTAGAATACTGTTAAATTATTATTTTTCAAATCAATGAATTGGAACCAATGAACGCATATTGATAGCCTCCTCGATTCCCGGATTTCGCCCTTCTCGATTTCTGATTTTGGGAATTTTTGAAATACGAAATATATCGTTGGCACTACAACAATGTCGAACACCTGAAAAATGCTTTAATAATTCAAGATTTAGATATTTGCAAACCCATCCCGTTATAAAAAAAAGAAAAATATATTCACAGTTTCAGTGGTAACAGTTATTTCAAAAGTAAAATATATCAATCCTAAATAAATTTTAATATGTGTATGACTATTTTAGTAAATACCATTTTGATTTTTTGTTATTTATCACGGCCTATTAATCAGAAAATGATATATTTTAAATATTGCAGTAAATAGTGAAAATAAATATAGAGTGATATATATATATTTGAGAAGCTCATATCAAAGCGGATCACATGATTTATAAATATACAGGGTGTTCCATTTGAAAAAACATAACTTTAGTTCATATTTTCAAAAATATTTTTTTCGTAGAAAAACAGACTACGCCTCTGTATTCTACGTAAAAAGTTCTACAAGAATCAGTTTTCACCTTTTCGATATCATCCATAATAACGGAGATACGGGGGCGGTCCCAAATTGCAACCTTTTTGAAAAGACCCTATAGCTCAGAAACGAAAAGGGTTATAAAAATTTTGTTGACAGCATCTTCCGTTTGACAAATAAGTGGCACAGGTTTGTGCAAACCGCACCCTTCTATCTTCACGAATAACGGAGATACCGTATGATTTCAACCAAAATGCGACACCCTGTACATTGTGTATTACGATTATTGCTTAAAATTGAAGGAAGAATTGAAATATGCAATTATATACAGGGGGTTTCATTAAAAAAAATAAAGTTTGATGTGACACAACTTTATGATCGACCCTGTATACTTAAATTTACTAGTAGCTAATAGGAATTTTAAAACCCGTTACAACAGTATCACAGTTTCGACAGAATGGTATCATTAAATCAAACCAAACACATCGAAATTAATTAATTCGAATTGTTTAAGTGATATTTTCAAAAGTCAATAACTCGGAAACGGTTAGTTTGAACCCCTTGTAATAATATACAGGGGGCTCTATTAAAAAAAATGAAACTTTGATGTGCACGACTTTATGAACGGCCCTGTATACTTAAATTTATTACTCGCTAATAGATATTTAAGAATCCTATAACTTTTGTATATTACTTTTTGCGGTACCTCCTATATTTTATCTAATAATCGACCGTTTCCATACATAAAAGCGACCCTGTATAATACATAGATTGAATGTCTTACCTGCAATTAATCCTGATTGGTCCTGCACGATCCTTAAAATATCGTCAAGTTTTTTCTGCACCGCACTGGGCGTCGCATCCCCCACCACTAGTATCAGTCGGTTCAGTGGCGTAATCAAGTTGACGATCAGTGGCGTACTGATTTGAAAATAGTTACTTGTCGCATTGGGATTGTCTCTAGCTACAGCTGTCAGTTTAAATGGAAGTTGCTCCTCGTTGATGTAGTCGAATGTTTTCTTCGTTCTGATTATTCCCGAGGATGGGTCGATAGCGAAGAAATCTTCACTGAAATTTCCTGTAATGAAATGTGAGGGATGGAATGCAACAATAAAAGTAAGATATTATTAAAATATATACAGGGTGGCGCCTCTCATACGACGCGGAGGCTCTAAGGAGAACGACAGTTTGTATTGAAATGAAATTTTGTGAGCATATGTAGGTTAATTTAGAGCAGTTTTTAAAAATATAGAGAGTTCTACAGGGTGTCCCATCAAAAAGTTACATATCAAAGTTGTGTTTTCTTGTAATGGAACACCCTATATATTAATTGATTTTCGGATTCTGGGAGAAAAATAAAAGTGAGTTTTTATGACTAAAATGTAAGCTTTTTGACATATTTAACATTTTCTAAGAATAAAGAACAATTTGTAAATTACAATAAAAGCTACCTAAATTGGAATTTACCCGGTTATATAGGTAAATTAACTATTTTGCACATTAAATCAAATTAAAACTTCATCCAAAAAGTTATACAGGGTGAGACAAAATTAATATGGAACATTGCTCACTTTTAAAAGCAAGTTACTGTTTTATTTTAAATGGAACACCCAGTATATTATTCCAATATTTAATGGGGAATTCATGTCTCTTCAAAATACTATTAAGGTTGCCTATCCCTCAAACAAAGATTTTCCTAGATATTTTCATTTTTATGATTTAGTCTCAGTGGATCTTTATTATTTGATAAAATCTTGATGGCCGTGTCTGACGTTAGTCTGACATTAGTTCAACTTAGCTGTCTAATCAGTCCAACTTTAAAAACTAGCTAGCATTTTGTGTCAGTTAAAAATAATCTCAGAAATTTGCCGAAAATGCAAACTTATGCATTCTATATCAGAGATAATTTATATGATTTTATTAGATGCTTGTAGTACAGTACATGTAGTACTTGTAGTACGGTACATTCACCAATTATTAGAATACTTAAACGTACTTAAATGCTCCTGATTTGATCTAGTCCGGACTTTTTTACGGGGATATGTTAAAGACAGTGTTTACAAAACTCGACCAACTATTGTTGACAACATGAGAGAAATGATTGTATATAGCTGCTTTTCGAAGTAGAACTCCACATATGCCTTTTAAAATGAAAAGATCCTTTTGAAAAGACAATCATTTTATGCAGTTAACAGGAAAGGAAGCATTTTGCGCATTTGATTTCATCTGGCTAATTTTTGTCACATAATGATGGGTTTATATCTAGTTTTAATTCTGTAATAATTAAAATATGTTTTAAACGTGTATCTTTTTACTACCGTTGTGTATTTTACTCTGCATCCTTTAATTTGTGTTAAATTAACAAAAGGTATATCACAGCCACCTAGATATTTTAAAATAATAAAGATCTATTAAATGTACTCGAAACAATACTACGAAACAAAGCGGAATCGGACCTATGTTGATATGAAAAATTAATCTTATTTTTATGCGAGGAATCTCCCCACGAGAGATGGCACATGTTTTATAAAACACCCTGTATATTATTAAAAAAACTCTAACTTCTTATCCCTTAACAGCGCTTTCAGATGGAGCGGGGCGTCCGCAACTTCGAGCAAGTACCATGAGTTTATACTAAGTGCTGGCAAAAGTTAGTCTTGGGTCGAGATTTCCGTATGTAAGAGGAGTACAATGCGTACTGTACTGTACTACCGTTTATAATGTACTGAACAAAAAGAGGACAGTAAACACGCTGCCAAAGGGGGAAAGGTGTACGTCATGCGTTCAGCTTCACGATTTAATTACGTCTCGTAATACTTAATTTGTTTATTAATTAACGAGTCGTAATTTTCCCTATAGCTTGATTTTTTTTAAGTGCAAGCTAGAAACACTTGCATTTTTGGTAATAAGGGGAATTGAGTGGGTGTTTGATAGTGGTCGCGCTATTAGAACTCTAAATTCAAAAATCGATATCTCGAAATCTATAAGTAATAATAGATTGTAGTTTTTTCAAGAACTTTGTTAATATTTCTGCTGTGTTTTCTTTGCAGACAGTATGTGAAAATCTTTATCAATAAAAAAATTACACGATTGCTGAAAATTGCTATGCTCTAAAACTAAATGGATGGATTGTTTACAATTTTTGAATGGAAAAAACAACCTTAACGAATTTTTCTTATGTAAACATATTGTAAAATATCCGATCTTGAAAATAAAAAAAGTTTCAATATCTAAAGTGGTTCTTGAGTTATGGTCTGTTATGTGTTAAAGAGTTTTTAAACTAACGATATCCTTATAATTCCATTTCAGATGCTCAGAAACATGTCGTAATGATTTTATCTAGTTATCTCTTGAAAAAAAGTCTTTTAAAAATAAGCGGTTTGCGATCGTGATTTTATTTTACTTGATAGGGAAAGGCGTACCGGCAACGCCGCAACAGCACACCGTCGCATTTCTCTGACTCCGACTTAATAAGATCCCTATGCGATTTACTTCCACACATGTAAATGCCGACCCAAAAGTAACAGTTGCCAGCACGGTATGAACAATTTCACATGGGCGCGTATGCTCCGTCCGACGGAGTTCGTCCGACGGCTATCTTGAAAAAACACGACGGACGGTCCGTCGCATGTGAAAACGCTGTAACTGCCTACTCACCTGCAAGATTATACACAACTCTACCAAACTTTCCACTATCCATGTCCTCAGCTTTAATCTGAGTAACCGCCGAGTTAATAGCTGAATCTATAGGAATGGCCGCGTAATACTTCATTTTAAATCTATCCCCACTCGAGTGCGTTTCAATGTCATTATCACCAACGTCCTCGATTCTACTGCGGTTGACGTTTCTGTAATTTAAACTCGACTCGACAGGATAGATGAACATTGGCTTGTTGTCGTTGACATCCTGGACGTTGACAGTGATTTGGGTGACAGCGAAATCCTTGTTGATGAAACCCTGCAGTGACATGATTTCAACGTCGAAAATGTACTGTTCTTGGGTTTCGAAATCTAGGGAATTGTTGAGGTAGATGGCACAGTTGCGGTCCTCGGTGACATTGAGAACAAATTTTCCTGAAAAGGACAATTTATAATATACTGTAAGAAAGATGTTATACTGTAAACACACCTTCTTTGTTGCCGCTGATTATCTGGCATTTAAGTGGAATACTCGTGCCGTGCGTTTTGGCATTGACTATAGTTAGTGTCTTGATTTTTTCTCCGACTGTGGCATTTTCTGGTAACTGTACGGTATAGGAAGTATCGGCAAAACGAAGTCCTACTTCAGGGGCCACCGTTGCCACGTGTTGAATAAATACTTCAACAGTAATGACGGAGGATAGTTGTGGCTCGCCTAAATCGTAGGCTCGAACATCAACCTAAAAATTAACAATAATTAAAAAACGATATAATTATTAAATTATGAAAAAATAAATGTGCTACGACTACGATTTCAAAAAATGAGGAGCAGACTTTTTAGATGCATTTTGGGCCCATTTTTTGAATTTTGCCAAGCAAAGAAAAACTGTTACACTTTTTGCCAGAAACTTTAAATTTTCTCTTTATTTTTAAGAAATTTCTCTTTATTTTTCTGCTACCACGGTCCATATCTTTAACTACATGGTCCCCACTCGTAGTTCCATTCATTATTTTAAGAGGTATTATTCAAAAAATAAAGACGTACAAACAAACTTTTCATCTGGAAATGACATACAAATAGTAGTATGTCCAAGTATGTCCAGAGCTTGGCTTAAACGCCGGTTTTTGAAATTATTGGTGGATTGGTATTGAGACATACTCATCGATTGATAGGAGTGTTTTACGGAAAATTGATTTTTAATCGAATTCGTCCCACACATCTCAATTTACAATTTAAATAATAAATATTCGTTAAAGTTGATCTTATAATAGTATCTGTCAATCATACATTCTTGAATTATGAAAAAAAAACAGAAAGTCCGTACCTGGTACTCGGTATCTACTTCTTTCTTCAAATCGTTAGTTACTCTCAGCGTACCGGTGTCTGGATCAATTTGAAAATATTTTGTTGCCTTTCCACGTCCAATAATTTCATATCTCACCTGAAAAACGAAATAAGAGTAAAATATATAAAACTGCCAATAAGGTAAATGGTTGCAGGTTCTGTTTGCCATAAAATCTGAATTATCAATCAAGATTAATTCAATAAAAATGATATACAGGGTTCGGCAATAATGTATCGGGCATCTAGAATCGTAGCTCCTAGAACAAAAAAACTCGAGAATTCTGTTTAAATGAAAACCTAAGGTATGTACGGGGATGTATTTCAGGAAAAATATTTTATCATCTATAGAGTGACTCAAAAAAATGTGAGTGGATTGGTATATATATTTTTAAGTGGAACCCCCTGTATATTATTGCATTTTTGTCTTCCTTTCAGATCACTTTACGTAATAAAGTTCCTAAGATATAAGTAAATACACAGGGTGATTCCTGTAAGTTGGGAATGATGAGGGACGTCAAAATATTAATTTTGCTATAGCACACTATGGATCGGAAATGCCTCTTACGAGAGATACAGATATCTTACGAGAGATACAGATACAAACTTCTTCTTTACATATAAAGTGTCTCTGTTACGTAGACTCCTATAATAAAATTTTATAACGATACCTTCAATTGTTAAAAAACTATTAAAGAATATCTTTAATTTTTCAAAAACTTTAACACCCTGTATCTTGCGTAAGAAACATTTCCGACCCATAGTGTGCTGTATCAAAATTAATATTTCGACGTCCCTTGTCATCCCCCGAAAGCATAACCAACTGACTTATGTACACCACTTCTTGTATGGTGTTGACATCAATAAATTATTCTATTCTATTCTATAACCCACTTTAAATTGGATGGTTGTTTAGGTGTCTTATAGTCAGGAGAATCTTCCTGGTTTGTCTAACCGCCAAGAATTGCTAGTTCATTTAGCGTTATCCAGCGTTATTTAGCGTTTGTATTTCTTTTTTTTTTCTTTGTGTCATATACGTACTTTGTGTCTTAATATGCCATACGCTAAATAACAAATAAATATAACCCACTTACAGCAATCACCCTGTATCTCGATAATTTTAGAGATATGATATGAATAAATAAATAAAAAATATATATATTTTCAACATTCCTTAAAAAACATTACAAATACAGGAAGTGTCATGAAATCAAAACTATATTAGGTATTTACTTCAGATGGTCTATACTTACTTTGCTATACATTTTAATGCTATAAAAATTAATTAATGATAAATGTATTACCTTATTTCCTGGAGCAGTACCGTCTGAATCAGTAGCTACCAGTGTAGTTACCGTCGTACCTATTGCCACGTCATCTTCTAAACTAATCGGATGTGGGATAATGGTAAAAACAGGAGGTATATCATTCCGATCCTGCAAAAAATAAAGCATTTAAGTCAACTTCCTTCAATACACTTATAAAGTTTCCTAGCCAACCTCCACATCCACGATAACTTTTGTCGTACTGTTCTTCTCGTTGGACATGTTTTCCAAAGTACCGATGATCAGTACGTGTCGGTCATCCTTTTCGAAATCCAGCCCCCTGGTGGTGTAGATGGCGCCGGTTTTTTCATCGATTCTGAACAAGTCCGTTGGACCTTGGTGAATGACGTAGGTTATTTTCTTGATGGTATCCGGATCAAAAGCCTAAAAAAATAGAATATTCTATATTATTATCGGTTAATGAGCACATACCCCAGCGTTCTTTAGGCATACAAAAGACAAAGCAAAAAAACTCGGTCTCAACATTTATTGTAATAAGTTAAATTGTGACACGTGTTTCGCTCATAAGAGCATCATCAGATCTAGCAGGAAAGAACCCAAATCAATAATTAATAATAAAAAAGGTGGTCGTAACTTAAATTAGTAACGTAAATTTTTATTATTATTAATGAATGATTTGGATTTTTTCCTGCTGATGATGCTCTTATGAGCAAAACACGTGACACAATTTAACTTTTTAGTAGTAGTGGGAACTATCGAATGAATACTATCGAAACATTCGATAGTTGCAATTCATTCGAATAATTCGATAGCTAGTAAAAAAAACATTCGTTGAAAACTATTCGAATAAAAATTATCGAATAGATGCGTCATCTGCCTTGAAGTATTGTATTCTAGTAATTCGGCAGCAAAAACCATTCATTTATAAAATTCATTCATTTATGAAATTCATTTATTCGTCAGGATCGATTATAATAAAATATTAACTGGATTTTAGTTGTCGCCCGGCGACGTAGGTTTCTTTCGAGAAACCCGACAGCGGTCGGTGGCAATGCTAGAAAGAAGCCGGCATCTTTGATTTTTTGCGGAGTCATATAAAGATAAGGACACATTATTTTTTTATTGAGGTGCTAGTATTTACACAGAAAATACATTATGAAGGGCGCTGTTGCCATATATTGGTATTAGTTGATATTAGCAAAGAATATTATTGTTTGGCTTTAGTTAGTTACGGATAGTATGTCTATATATTTTGCATTTTTTTTATTAATATTCTGTTGTTAGGTTAGGTTAGATAATAAAATATTTCGGATGTAGGAAAATGATTTTTAATGTTTTTAATAAAGACTGGTTTAATAAAAATAATAATAACAGTAATAATTTGTTATACCTATTAACAACAAAATTTAAAATAATTTAATATAAACATTTTTTTACGTAGTAGCAAAATATAAACAACAAATTAGAAGTCAAAATTATTTATATTAGATCCTATTTAAAAATAATATAGTCTCTAAATTTTTTGGCATCGTTGGTTTATTAAATAATAATAATTACAGAGCTAATTTGTTATATTAACAACAAACTTTAAAATCATGAAATATAAACATTTATTAATTTTCTAAGCATGCAGTGTAATGGAAGGAAAATATAAATGAAAAATTAGAAATCAAAATTATTTATATTGGGTACTTTACATTATTATTAAAAAATAATATTTACTTTTACTGGCATTTACATTAAAAAATAAATGAAATATTTCTTCGCAAAAAACTACATGTAAGAGAATTAGCATAAACAAAATACAAACATCGTTAACTTTTTTTTTAAATTGGCACGTGTAAAACTTCAAGTTAATTTTCTCACCCCATAGTATGAGTTCGATAACCATTTACTTAACCGCATTACTTAAATATGATTATTAAGTTCCAACTAATTCATATTATTAAAACATCTAAAATACAAATATGTATTTTTAAAATGAATTCTAAGTTCATCTCATCTCTCTTAAAAATTGCTACTTCTCAAAATTCCCCATTAAAAAATAGACCATATATACCATATAAAATAAAATAATTGAAAGATCGGGCTACGGAAAATCACACAAATTTTCGGAAAAATGTTGACACCTGCACACGCACACAATCGTCAATTAAAAAAAAACTACTATTTTAGTATTTTAAATATTTTAATAAACGCAAAAATAGCACAGTATTTATAAGGTGAAGTTATAAAAATTTGGAAGAACTAATAATGCACTGACGCACACAAAAATCAAACGAATACTAAATTTCATTTATCAAAAAAGCATTCGATAGTCGTGGCTCAACGATAACCATTTAGTTGCACGGCGAGGTTGTCACATATGCTTTAGTATACAAATGAATGAATGATTTTATTCGAATAAAACCATTCGATAGTTGAAATCATTCATTCAGTAACCATTCGATAGTCTAATTCATTCGATAGTTCCCATCGCTACTTTTTAGTAATAAATGTTGAGACCGATACTTTGAGTTTTTTTGCATTTCTTGGTTTTATAAACCAGGTCTCTTTGGGATTAATGGACAACTTTTTTAAATATTAAATCCAGGCAGAAATCTACGCTATCAAAAGATGCGTACAATCTTAAATAACAAGAAATAGCCATCTTATTCGATAGTCCAGCAGCCTTAACAGGCTCCAGAGCGATCATCTTAGTAACCATTAATAATTCGAAGTTGGCCAAAAAATGCCTAGAGGAGCTGAAAAATTAGGCAAAGAAAATGAAGACCTCCTATACTGGATGCCAGCCCACTAAGGGATAGAAGGTAATGAGGAAACAAACGATCTAACTAGAAAAGGAGCGAACACTGCACTAACTGGACCAGAACCGTTCTGCTTCCCAAGTGGGAACCAATTAAAGCAGAACTCAAAAATCTGGAATTTATTTAAACCGTATAAAAATATAAGGTAAGGTAGATCCAATAATTTGTTAGTTGTGTTTTACGTTGTCGACAAATGTAGGGGGTATGTCGATAAATACATTTGCATGAATACAGAGATTGCAAAAATTCGTGCAAAAATTCCAGTTTTCTAAAATCTATTAAGGTACCTACCTCGACTGTTGTGACGTAATGATCAGCCATATTTTCCGGGATCAGTGCCTCGTATTTTTCGTCTCTAAAAACCGGGACTTCATCTTCGACATCTTCAACTTCAACCGCTACAGTTGCTGTAGCGATTCTCGGATCGGGTGCGCCATCTTTTGCTGTTACCACGAACTGATATCCCTAGAACGAGAAAAAAGTCTTTAAAAGTGAATTTTAAAGTTGTTAAAATTCATTTGGATATTAAAATCAGAACAAAAATGCTTCTTTCCATAGATTTAAAATAAAATTATTTTAAGTCTAATATCTACTTTATAACTATTGGTTAAAAAGTACTGGTGTGAATTTCGATGAGGAATCAATGAATACTTATTTAACACTCTGACCTCCAGTTAATGCCATTAATTTTTTTAAATATTGCTATTATTAAGCTTCATTCAGCTCGCAATGAGTGGTCTCGGTTTCAATTACATGTCACACTTTTTAGTTTACGATCATTCACAATGTCAAAAAAACACTCTTAAATTAATAGAATATCCTAACAACAACTGGTTTCCATTTATAAAAATCAGCTGTTACGTTCTAACAGCAGGATTACGGGACGTGTCGTTGCAGGCAGTCATCCTATAGTGTGACCAACGGATCTGTAGCTACGGGGTATCGGCAAGGGAATGCAGTTGTAAACAAAACACGCCCAATTTCATTCATAAAATAGGCATGGGCGTACGGTGTTATATGAAAATAATGTGTATCATAAATATAATACTCAGATTAATAATTTTTTTCAAAAAACTTTATGCTGTTTGAATCGTTACTGTTGAGTTAGCAGATAAACACTAAAAGCTTTTATTAAAGCTCCCTTAAATATTTTGAATCATTATATTATCGTGTTGTTAATATAATAGAAGAAATAATTACAGCTGGGGGTTGGAACCTTTGGTGTTACGCAGCAAAATAAAACACTAAATCAGTACAATACACCAAAACACTTTTAATTTTACACTGGACGCATGTTTCGCTAACCATGTCTGCCATCAGCAGATGATCAAGACTGAGTCTTGAGGTATATTTATTTATATATCTGTACTAACTATATTTTTTTTATAATACATAATTTTAGATATAACTATTTCCAGCAAAAAAATCTTGAAAATAGTTAACTTTGGAAGCGCAAACAAAACATAATTTTACTCACCAGTAGATCCAATATTGCCTATTACACCAGATATGGTATCCTCCGCCAGCAGTTTTTAAAGGTTAGGTCATTGTCTACCCATATGTTACATCCAAATAGATAATACTTGGCTATATTTTCGAATTTCGCGTATATATATTTATATCTCTCTCTGCAATATAATGGGCCGCTCCATTAATATTTATCTGTTATTTTAACATTTACGCCAAAAAAATTCATTTGATTTTAATAACCCCCTAAGCGTTTCCCTGCAAAAGGAAAATTCGATTCTTCCTGCAATTTTTGCAAAAGCTTTCTAATTGTGGGGACGAGTTTGAATTCGAGATAAAATCTATTTATCAAATTCCTGACCACTTCGAAAAAGTCGTTGAGCTTTTCGACAGCAGTCTCACGTGGTCGTTTCTTTCCAGAGAGGATATCATTTTATCGGGGTTAGTTTTCAGCCTTTTTTTTATCTTCTGTGTGAATTTTTTTATAGCCGATACGCTAACTCCGGTATAAAGAAATATCCGCTCAAGTTTACGTTTAAGCGGCAACTCAAGCGAACTCTCTGTAGCTTCTTCATCGCAAACCCTATTATGAACACAAGGAAATACACCAAATGAGATTTCATCCACGTTATTATTAACTTACCTATATAAATTAGCTATTATTTCTCTTGTCTGACTATGTAGCGTCTTACCCTTAACAAATTTATTCGTTTTAAAACACAAATATACGATCAAACTTGATATTAATAATTAAAAACTACGAACGAAAAACATTATAACAAGATAACAAAACAATAAAACACAACTTAACTATCAAATATACGAAAAATATAGGAATAAAGTTTAGGATAACCGGTATAAAATAATGAAATAAAGTAATAATGATCAAAAAAATGACACCGCCACTCGATATTTCAATAGTATTCAATATTCCTACTCTTTTCAGAAGAGACCGTGAAGTTGGGGATAAAGCAAGCGAATAGAAAAGGCGTAGAAGCCATGGCAACCGCGTGGTAACAAATCCTGTGACGTACTCTCGCCAATCATGTTCGATGAATAGGCGGCCATGCGCGGCGATGCCGGTTTGCCAATGATATCGTTTAAAAATCTTCAACTTTCATAATAAGCAGATTATACAAAATGAAAGAAATAAGTTATTAAATAAAACATATCGAACAATATGAACTACGTTAAAATTCCTTAGTAATATACGTCAGAATATATGCTAAACACATTATATATAATAAAAATATATTAAATTTATAGTTCATGTCTGGCAATTTTGCAATTTTATAGATAAACGTGGCAATATCGATTTTTTTTTCTCGAATTCCTTCCGTAGCTTCAGATCCGCTGGTCAAACAGTAAGTCTTTTTATTTTAAAGGTTGATTTGATATTAGTACGTGCTAATCATATATTCTTGAATTGTGAGAAAAATACAGAAAAGTCTGTAGCACGAAAGCAAGGGTAGATGCGAATAGATAACATCCAAAAATTGACAGAAACTAATATATCTTGACAATATAATAATATCGACTTGATTATACACTCAGATACAGTCAAATTTAAAGTGTTATATTTTTGTTATTTTTAGCCCTATTTTCATGAATTTTTTAGCAAACTGTATATAATTATATCACCTTTTATTCGTAAACTCAGCTTTTTATAAACTTTAGTATTTGGCATATTATACAGGGTTTAACGAGGATATTTTTTACCCTAACTTTTAAACACTCTGTGCAGTAATTTCGTTTGTAAATTTTCCTAAAATATAGTTTTATGGACAGAACCATGACTCCTGAGCATTTTGTTTTTTGATTCATGGCAATACATATTCGCAATACATATTGCAATACGCTTCGGTTAATTTTTAAGAGCGAAATGAATTGATCACGATCAATTCGCAGTTTTTGCAATTATCATTACTTTTTGATGTATTTTTTTAATATGACGAGATGGTTTTGGTGACCATTGTCGAAAAGTCATGTTAATGAAAAAAACGTTAAAGACTAACGATACAGTCCTGGTTTTAATAAACATTCATAACGATAACAAAACTAACGGTATTAGAGAAAACATGTGTAATACTCGAGTATACACTGTTCGGTTTTTATATGATTCAAAATAAAAAATATATAAATTGTAAAATTAGTAATTTTTTAATGGCCATAATGCGTTCTTTCAAAATCATCGAACAACTAAATCATTTCCATAGATCCAGTGACGTAACGTGACTTTGAATTTTGAGACCAAAAACTGAAACAATAATTTGTCAAAAAAATCATATTACAGCTATATATTTTATTTTGCATAAAAATGTTAACTAATAAGTTAGAATAATTATAATTCTTCCCTAACTAAGTGGTTTTATCGCTAAATTTACCTAAAGCTAAGTACAACACAAATCTTAAATACGTGGACTATTATAACAACAAATACATCGTAAAAGACTATTTTGGTAGTATTCTGAACGAGAATTCCAGTTAAACTTTTTAGAAAATAATTTAAAGGAAAAATGTTAATTCAGTTAATATTAATTTTTGTATACTGCTCAGATTTATCTGGTCTTCTATCATATATTTTGGAAATTAGAGAATTATCTGAAGATTTTCATGTAAAAATTGGCATTGATAGTGGTGGTGGATCACTTAAAGTTTGTCTGAATGTGCTCCCTGAAAATGATCCCGAATATTTCAAGAAATATAAAAGTGCTGGAATTAAAAACTATTCATAATTGGCTTAGGACCAAAGTTGTCTGAATCTTATGCTAACATTAAAAGCCTCTTTGAGACGTTAGATCTGCAGTCCATATGTGGAATTTGTTCCTATACTTTTGCCGCCGACTTTAAGCTTATTATGATTCTCCTTGGTCTTCAGTCAAATTCATCCACTTACACTTGCCCATGGTATGATGTAAATGTAAAGGAAATGGAAATTAAACGACCATTCAGCACCATAAAAAGTATTACAGAAAATACAAATTTATGGGAACAATCTGGAGGAAATATAACAAAAGCCAAAGATTTTAGTAAGCGTTTTTGTTTGATATATTTTTTTGTATTTTTTAAACTGTTGTTCAATTTTAAACTGTTGTTCAATGAACTGTATAAACATACCTTTAATCATTGGCGACGAAGAAACACTTGTCTTAAAGTATATTCCCCCTCCTGAGCTTCACCTTTTGTTAGGTGTGGTTCAAAAACTATTTGATTGTCTTGAATTGGAGAATACCAATGTTGCAACAGAATGGATAAAAAAGCGGGATTGAAACTAGATCATTATGGAAAATGTAACGGAAATAACGCCAGACAACTTTTAAAGAAAGTGGATATTTTGAAGACGATATCGCCCGGTAAAGAATCCTATTCAAAGTTTTGACAAGCAAAAACCTAAACATCTTTTTTTTAGGAAATAAATATATTGCAGTGTTCTCTGCATTCAATCAAGTAGTTTCGAGTTGTTTTGTTCAAGCACTAAACAAACATTTTGAACATGACATCGAACAATTTAGATTGGAAATACTCAACTTAGGTATTAAGATAACTCCAAAGATTCATGCAATTCTGCATCTTGTGCCAGAGTTTATAAAAGCAAATCATAGAGCTCTAGGATTTTACTCGGAACAAGCATCTGAGCAGGTTCATTTTTTCTTTAAATTATTTTCTAAAAAGTTTAACTTGAATCCTCGATGCTATCAAAATAGTCTTTTACGATGTATTTGTCGTTACAATAGTCCACGTATTTAAGATTTGTGTTGTACTTAGCTTTAGTTAAATTTAGCGATAAAACCACTTAGTTAGGAAAGAAATATAATTATTCTAACTTATTACGTTGTTTTAAAAAAGTAAAGTGTTCTCGAATAGCTGAATTTAAATATTTTAAATAGCTTTTTTCTTATTTTTTGTAATCTTTTTTGCTTCCGACGACGGAAAGAGATAAACTTTCCGAAACGTTAAGCATTTTTCTCTTTGATAGGCAAATTTGTATAACTGTAAACATAACTTCTGACAAGCAGTGTCCGTTTAGGTTTAACGCAGACGTGTTTACAAAAAATAACTATTTTATTTTGTAGATTTTCTTGCAGTGCAGTGGCGAAATACCCATAAAGGATTTTTTTGGAGAGTGTAAAAATAATATTAGACACCTTCAATAGTTTTTTTTTCAAATTACTGCTATTAAATAAAAATTCACTTACTTTTTGCGTCTCGTAATCGAGCGGCCGATTCGTCCTGATCTCCCCCGTCTCGTTGTCGATGTTGAACGGCAGTCCCGTGGGAATAGAGTAGGTTATCCTGGCGTTGATGCCCTCGTCTGCGTCCACGGCCTTCACGAAACCGACTGACGTTTTTTCCAGGCCCTCCCTGACGCGGAACAAGTAGGGATCGCCCTCGAACTCCGGGTTCTTGTCGTTGATATCGGTCACTTTGATGTTGACGGTGGCGGTGCTGGACAATTTGCCGGTATCCTCAGCTTTTATCATCTGTAAAAGTTCGTAGCATTACAAGCATTTTGTATTTGTCGCAAACTGACTTCCAAAACAGTCCGGATTGTACATTTCATGAAACAACGCTGGCATTACAGATTGTTGTAAATCAGTTTAAAAATATAAAGAAGGTTTAAAAGTTTAGTTAGTAGAGAAGACCTCAAGAAGGTAATGTTGGTAATGAAACCAAAGATCAAATAACACTTGAAATATATAATATATGCAATAATTGTAAGTAGTTTTTATGAATCTGTTTGATATAGTCTATAAAATGAATAACTTTGAATTTTGACCGTTATTTTTTACCAACATGTCAAATATAAAATCCCTCTGTCAAAAAAGTTACTGATATTCTTTAAATTGAGTGCCTGAACGAATCAGATAGGTAACTCTTTTTACTTTCATGAAATAGAAAAGGAAAATAATAAAACAAGTGACAGTTCTTCCTCTTCTTGCAAAAATCAACACGAAATGTCATAATTGACAAAAGTAAAATGTCATCAGTTTTTTGACACTTCTAAATATTAGACCAATGCCGTCTCTAATGGGAGAACAGCCACGGAGCGAGATTTATGACGTCACGCTAGTTAGATACTACGGATTAATAAATATGTTGTAGAATACATGGAAAAAATAATTATTCCTCGTATTTTTGGTTTGTATTTTAAAAATGATATAGTTTACATGAAATATACATAATATACAGTTAATAAATACAATATAATATACTTAGATTAAGAAGATAATATATACCTATTTATTGTAATAAATACTTTGGCAAATAAACTATGAACCATACAGATGCAGCAAATGTTTTACAATATACAAATAATGTGGTACATAAGATAATGCGTAAAATGTAAAATATATTTTAAATTTTGGGGTTTGAAAATCGATCAAATTTAACAAAAAACATTCAATATCTACTAATAGTGATGTATTATTATTTGCAATCACAACATTTATTTATATATTATAATGTTTACTGCAATTAATAAACTAATATAAATTTGTCAAAAGATGACCACATATTTTTTAAAATTATTATTCTTAACACAAAAACTTTCTACACTGACTATGGAGTACGATTTCAGCCATATTTTAAAACATTTGCTGCATTTGTATGGTTCATAGTTTATTTGCCAAAGTATTTATTACTATAAATAGGTATATATATTGTATTTATTAACTGTATATTATGTATATTTCATGTAACTATTTCATTTTTAAAATACAAACCAATAATACGAGGAATAATTATGTTTTCCATGTATTCTACAACATATTTATTAATCCGTAGTATCTAACTAGCGTGACGTCATAAATCTCGCTCTGAGGCTGTTCTATTAGAGACTGGCATTGCGTCGCTTTATGGCCCGCAAGTTGCTAACCTAATAAAATTAACACTAGAAAAGCCCACTTGGGAACTGTCAAATTCAAAGTTATTCGTTTTACGGACTATATCTATTGCATTTGCTTTTATATTTTTGAAATATATATATATATATATATATATATATATATATATATATATATATACTATATATATATATTATATATATATATATATATATACTTATCCATAAATATATATATATATATATATATATATATATATTTTACTTTACAGGATACACAAAGAATAATAGGAAATACAGTTACTCACTAAAAGCACTTAAGGTTTGTAATAGACGTAGTTAGAATATCAAACACCAAACCAAACCAAAAATTATGTTTTATTTTACAGGTATTCCTCACGTTTGAAAGGAAAGTCACTTTATAACTCTATATTAATAATTCTTTTTTGTCCTATATTTGTTTAGTTGACGCATCTCTTACTAGGTATACCATTTAGTACTGATTCTACACCTATAGTTGTGGTTGTGACATATTCTGATGTGTTTTTGGCAATTTAAAATAAGTTAATATTTAAACAAACATTTCTGGCTTTCCTGATAGGAGTGTGAAAACAAATTTAATAAAGGTATAATGTGGATAATGTTCTGATTATTACAGTTTGCATGGATGACTATTTTTGTATGTTGTTATTTTTAATAAAGTATATTTAATGAGTTTTTGAGTATTTTTTCCCTCAGAGGATTGTGTTTTAATCTTTATATATAAATTTTCATAAATTATATCACACAAATTATATATACAGTTTAACACTATATAAAGGAACTATTTAAATAAGATTTTTAATAAAATATATAGCTGTTTTTGCACACAATTTAATTTGTGATTAACTGTACTGAAATAAAAACATAAATTAAGAGAAATGGGGCGATCTATCTCTCTCCAAGTCTTCTATTCTATTTAATCTAATTTCACTTATTAAACAACTATAATTATTCAATAATCTTCATAATTCTAGGAAGTTTTGAATATCGTCAAAACATGAAAACAAAAATTCACTTCCTATAGTTTTTACGTCCCTTTAACTGAAATATAAGAAACAGGAAAGTTAATATTCTCACTGAGAAAGTTTAGAAAATACCTTTAAGTAAAATCGCTTGAAATCTGCAGTAAAATACCTTTATTCTTATTTAAATAATTTGAATAATCTATGTTTTCATTTATGATAACCACCTAATAACCTAACTTTAACATCAACTTGACAATTCTGAAAAATGGTTAACCATGGGTTAACCAAAGAGTAAATGAAGTTTTGAATTCGGTAACGCCAACTTATTTTTCATTAAAAAATACCTAAGTCGGCCATATTGAGGAACTTCTCGGTGATAACAAGTATAGTTGTATTGATAAATACCACACGACCGAAAAAAAGTGGCGTCAAAGACGGCTGGGGAATGACAATCGATGATAATTTTGGCGAGGTCAAGCCCTAGACATCATATTACTTAGCCTGTAATCTTTTTCATTTCGTAATGGCGCTTTGGTACTGCCAGTTGGGTTATAATTGCCAAGAAGGTTATAATTAATTTTTATATTGTAGGGGATGTGCGATATAATGTTTAATAACTTACCAATTGATATCTGTTCAAATCCTCTCTGTCTAGCATACGGATAATCGATATTACACCCGATCTAGAGCCAATGGCGAATTGCCTCAAGTCATTTCCAGAAACAATTGAATACAAAACGGGGTCTCCTTCAGGATCAACAGCCTGTCAACAAAAAGTACTTTTATTTAAATAATCTATTACAAATTACAATAATTAAATGCGAAACATTAGATAGTCGATATACCTTTCTTTATAATTATTACATTATTAGAATCATTACCAATAATAGTTTTTAGTTTTAGTTTGACACTTAAATATTATTTACAGAAGAACTGAAAGAAAGAAGAAATAAATGTTAGCTTTCAAGCCGCATCAGCATCAAATGCTATTTAGCGGCGTATCATCTGCTACTTTAGTTCGGTAGTATATTTGACAAAAAGTAAAAACTAAACAACACGTTTATAGACAGATTGTATATGTTAATAGTACAGACATTGATTTTGTAAAAATAAAGTAAATGGTACAGAACAACATAGAATAAAACAATAAAACGTAAAAATATGTACAATTTAATTAGTAATTGGTTGCTTTAAACCAAAATGTAGCTTTTTAGATACCTATATTTTAGATATATATCCCGATCTTTCCGGAAAATTAAAAAGTTTAGGTTGCTCACTTGTAGAAAAAATAACTGACATGTCTGGCGAAAGATTGCAGGCCTCTCTTAGGTTATAATTAACTGACTACATTCCTTAAGGATATGTTTGACAGTTAAAGGATTACTACATTTATCACATAGAGGCGGTGGTTGGCCCTTGACTCGATGTGGAGAAACCACAAAAGAATGTCTTTTTGACATTCCAGAGTTTGTTAGGTTCCTCCAGATACAGAAGAACTTACCAAAAGTGTGGCAACAGTGGAGTTTATTGTAGCACCCTCACTAACTTCGATGTCATACACTGATTGCTCGAAAACTGGAGCTTCTGTATTTGGTCCTGGACTCACTGTGACTTCGACGATGGCTTGGCTATAGAGACCACCTGTAAAATAAGAAATACAAAAATTATAATAACTAAAACCATAAGATCAATAATTGTTCAATTTTGGCTTGCTGAACCCCTTATGAATTTGGCAAAATAAATATTATATCCTATATCTTTAGGATATAAATAAATTATATCCTAGCAGCCAGCTTCGAGAATAATTGAATAGCTAACCAAGATCCCAGTTGTTGGCCTTCGAGGCCGTCGAGGCCGCCGGATTTAGAGGCTATGGATTTTTATCTTTGTGGAAGAATAAATGTTCTTATTTGTAAACTGCCCGTATAATCTAGACAAGAACTGGAAGTACTTAGCCGTGATGCGAGGGTATTTTTCACCCCCACTGAGTTAATAAATTCCGCGAGAAATGCTCAAAAACGGTCCCGTCTGTCCATAACAGAAGACGGTCGACATATCGAACACCTGTAGCAAAATCTCATGTCTTGTTTTGCTATTAATTTTTATTGTTATTAGATATCATCATCAACATCAACACATTTTAACTATATCATTAGATATAGTTAAAATGTGTTGATGTTGTTAAATATAGTTTAAATTGTTAAAAAATTCTACATCTCTCATTGCAAATATTATTTTCCTATAATTGCTGCTCACAGCTACAATTTTTTGCATTACAGCCCGCGCCGTTCAAAGCCTACTAATTCAAAGTGGGCGAACTTTTAAAAACTCTATATCATAAGAGGAATCGAACAAAATATCAAGTATGCTATATTTTTGGACAGGTAATTTTAAATTCTTTTCAATTAAATTAAAAATATACAGTCCCATATAAAAGATCAAATTTTCTGTTGATAATTATTCTTAAATTATTAATTTAAAAAAAAAACTATACTTAAACCATTAAATTCTACGTAAAAAGGAGCTTTGGAAATGTTTTCATAAAAATACAAAATTTTCTCCTATAGAAAAGGATGTTTTCCTTTAAAAGCGTCCAATTTGGCTCACCCTGTACAGGCTTTTTGAACTCTATATCATTATTACTATATTATGTATTGATACATTACCTGAATCTGTAGCTTGCACTGTTAAACTGTACTGATCTCCGGCATTTAGTTTTCCGATGGTGGTAATAACTCCAGTATTTTCATCGATGGAAAACTTATTGTTTCCATTATTGGAAACATGGTAAATCGAGTACTTGATTTCTGCATTTTCGTCTTCGTCGTTGTCTGTAGCATGGATTGTGGTAACTTTTCTTTTCACATCACCTAAGAAATGTATTCAAGAATAAACATAATTTAGAAATCTTTTGAGCTTTAATTAGAATACTTTTTTTTCCATAGCAACTACTAAAATTGCCTTATATCTATCAAAAATAGTAGATAAAATAGTACTTTAACCACAAGGGTAGATTCAATGATACTTTAACAGCGAGGATAGGTTAAAAACTTTATTTCTTCTCGCACGTTTTTTAATTGCTTCCATTTTTGAAATTTTTTGTGTTCCTTTTCATAAGTTATTCGGGATTTAAATGGAATTAGTTTGGATATGGCGTTTGTCGCCCCAGCCTGAATATCTGTTGGTAATTTACTTATTTCGTTTTGAGCCATTTCTGGCTCCAATTCAATCAGCAATCGACACGAAAGAAAATTAAAAAATTATGACTCAAAACTGACTGATAAAGAGACAGCTTTATTTATTTGTCTAATTACATAGAAATCAACGCCAACCCAGCACAATATTTTTTCTACTCGTAATAAATTCCTTGAAATAATAACACAGATTATACAGATTATAAACTTTGTTTTTTCTTTACTGTTTTTCGTGGTTCCAATTTTCGGAATCGGGCACTAGCTAGGTTACTAGTTTGCGCACATAGCACGCCCACTTATGGTCCCTAAAATTGTGCGCAGCGCCTGACCGGCACAGTTATTAGAGAGATATCGAAAAACTGAATAGCGTCATGCGGTATTTACGCGTACCTTATCGTGGTTACGATATGGGCGAATGGCGCGAGTCAATTTTTAACACAACACCCGCTAATAACGTTACCGCCTGACGTAATTTGCGGATTAATTACACCAAGCGCTATTTCTAATTTCTAAATAACGTTTAAAGATTGCTTAAATGGGCATGTGCGGGTATTTGACAACCGGGGCCGGGGTGCAACTTTCTTCAAGTTAGCATCGTTTAGAAGCGATGTCGAAGCATGATCGGTACTATGGTCATTGCAAAACTATTGTCGCTTTATCAAATCGGGTATTCTCGGCAAATGCTGCGAAATATGGTATCACTATCACACTCTTGCACACGTGTGCGACAAGGTCTAGGCAGTCGCCTCGCTACAAAGCGAGAAATCAGAATATCGCTACGAATCGATATTGCTACTGAACATAGTGCCTCAAGCTACAAAATTACTTTGCTATCGCTTTGAAACATGAACAAAGTTGCACCCCCGGCCGGCGAGATCTTTTATTTTAGGTTATGTTTGAATTGTTTTGAATTATTACTTTAGTTTTATTAGGTAATTTGACATTTAAGTAGCTGGGATTAGTTTTAATTAAATAAATATGGCCCAAAATATGGATTCCACCTCTTCCAATATTAAAGAACCTATAAAGAGGCTTAGGTTTACAGCAGATGACGACTTAGCCCTTCTAAGAGAATTTGTTGCTTGTTGTCATGTTGTCCTAAACCCACTGGCAGACGTTGAACAATAAAGCACTGAAAATAAGCACTTTAACCCTTTAGTTTTAAAATACCTAGTAAATAAAACAATTTCAAAGTTTTAAATTCAAAGTTAGGTTAAGTTTAAATAGCGGACGCGACACGAACAGAATTCTTTCCGATCCGATAACTATAAATGAAGAGAGTTAATACCCTTGAGTTAATACCACCTCACGTAAAGGAAATAACACCTGGCCTTATTAACGTCCATGCACGCTATTCGGTTTAGCGATATCTCTCTATTACGCTGTTTATTGTTATTTTACGCGAGTTTATTTTTGCGCATAGGAAATTTTATTCGTTTGCACATCGTCATAAAAAACAATTTTCGTACCACGAATTAGGGATAAGATTTTTATCTGTATACATATAGTATACCTAATCTGTGATAACAATTTCTGAATATTTTTTAAAACGTAACTCGCTATGGAAAAGAAATATTGTTTTATACACGACGATAAAATGGCATTATCGTCTCCCGAAATTAATTCGCTCGCGATTTCATCGTTCGTGAATTAATCTTTTCGACGATAAAATAGCATTTTATCTCCTTGTATAAAAAATAACTATTATTTCTTTTAGTTTCATTCTTTTCTTTAAAAAAATGTTTTATATTTTTAATTTGATTACTATGTACGGTCGAAAAGAAAACGGTGTCAAAGACAGCTGGAGAATGACAATGGATGATAATTTTGGCGAGGTCAAGCCGTAGACGTCATTTACCTAGGCCGTACTCTTTTTTATTTTTTTCAACGGCGCTTACTGCCTGTTGGCCCTAAGAAGGTTGTAATATATTTTTATATTGAGTATAAATGATTTTTAAACGGTGTAGTTTAAAATTCAAGAGAACATGGAGTGCTTAATAATATTGTAAAATTAAATAAAAGACCTGAAAAATTATCTGGCTTACCTGCTGGTACTGATACGGGTGGAATAATAGGCAATACAGGAGCATTGTCATTGACGTCCAGCAAATTGACAGTGACGGAGGCAGGGGCACTAGCTGCCACTCCGTTCTTTTCCCTTGCGACAATTTGGAATTTGAATTTTCCTGGATTGGGGGGATCTCTATCCAGATTGTTCTCGTTGACCACCAAGTATCCGTTTTTATCCACAATAAAATATGGACTGGTTAGTTCAAAGGTGTATTGTGGTTTGGGATCGTTGGTACTCTACAATAAATAAACGATTATTTATTATACAGGGTTGTTCACCACATACGACACGGAGTATTGTAGCTAAACGATGAGATTTTTACAAATTTTAAGTTTTGGGTTCATTGCAGGACTATTAGAGCTACAATTTAGAAATAATTTTACAAGATACAGTGTGTCCCAAATAAGTAAAAAATATCAAAGTTGTATTTTTTTAAATGGAACACCCTGTATATTATTAAATTTCTAGTTTCTACGATTAAAATAAAGGTAAATGTGATTAAGGTTTATTATATTTAAACCTTACCGTTTTCGAAATATTTTCAATTTTGTGAAATTGCAGTAAAAATTTTAAGGCTTCACTTCTCCAAGGGTATCAAAGTTTTTAATACTAAATATTTACTGAAGTTTATTTATTAATCAGTTATTGTGTTGCAATAATAAAAATAATACTACCTTATACAGAGTGTCTAAAAATTTATTTTAAATAATTATTAGCTTCAAACGGCAAAAACTTGTTTAATTTAAATAGAACGCCTGTATATTTTAGGAGAATCAGATGCACAATTTAATTGTCTATCAAATTGTGTTATATCATTTTTTACCTATCCCTTCAAGTTTTCGTAGAAAATGCATTTTCTTATAATTTAGACCTCATTTATCAATATACCCACGGAATATTGACATTTGAGATTGTTTTTAAAGATGTACCAACTTTTTAAAGAGTACAGATACTAATATTGTCGATATAATTCGTTTATTTCATTAAAAAAATAAAAAAAACTGTTTAAATATTTGTTAAAGAGGACCAATTAATATGATTCCAGTATTCAAACTACATGAACTTACTGTTTGCGTTGATTAATAATAATTGCTCCAAATACTAAAAAACTGAATTTTGTATGGGTATTAGAAAGTGTGATAAAAGTAACACCTTAAAATGATATTTCATTTTTTAATAAATGGTTATTTATAACAACAGAGACGTTCATTTTGATAACTTATTATTATATTGATTCCTGACTCAAATCCACATTTATTTAGAATAGTTTATTAACGAACACAATTAAGTATGTAATTAATTAGTACATGGGCGGAAATAATGGTGCTATATTTAATTAATGGTATACTCTTTTATAAGGATTTAAATAGTTTTCTTTTTGCTTACAAATAAGCTAGTAATATTATCGTTTTGCTAAAAACGATAATATTACTTGTGCCTGTACATTTTGTACATTTGTTGCTTTAAAAACAATCTAAAATGTCAATATTCCATGGGTATATTGATAAATGAGGTCTAAATTATAAGAAAATGCATTTTCTACGAAAACTTGAAGGGATAGGTAAAAGATGGTATAATACAATATGATAGACAATTAAATTGTGCATCTGATTCTCCTGAAATATATAGGGCGTTCCATTTAAATTAAAGATGTTATTGGCGTTTAAAGCTAGAAATTATTTAAAATAAATTTTTAGACACTCTGTATGAGGTAGTATTATTTTTATTATTGCAACACAATAACTGATCAATAAATAAACTTCAGTAAAAATTTAGTATTAAAAACTTTGATACCCTTGGAGAAATGAAGCTTTAAAATGTTTACTGCAATTTCACAAAATTGAAAATATTTCAAAAACGGCAAGGTTTAAGTATAATAAACCATAATCAAATTTACCTTTATTTTTATCGTAGAAACTAAAATTGTAATAATATACAGTGTGTTCTATTTAAAAAAATACAACTTTGATATTTTTTACTTATTTGGGACACTCTGTATCTTGTAAAATTATTTTTAAATTGTACGTCTAATAGTCCTTCATCGAACCCAAAACTTGAAATTTGTAGAAATTTAATCGTTTAGCTACAATACTCCGTGTCGTATGTGGTGAACAACCCTGTATGTATATAAGGCGATTCAGGCTTCCGAAAAAACCTATTGGTACTAGATCCTAGCCAGCGTTAAAGCAAAGTGTTCTGGTGTATTGTGGTATTATTACTTACAAAATCTTTATCTTCAACTGTCACAATTAACGGCTTGCCATTTCCATCAAACACTTCTTCCCCTATTGGAGAATTTTCTTTTACGTAACCTTCTCGAGCGGAAAGGACTATTTCAGGCGGATGAGCATCGACAGGCTTGACAGTGATGAACAGTTTTGCTGTCGTTGATCTTTTCGCCTCTGAGACTTCTTGAGCCTGTTAAACAATAGAAAAGTTATATATTTCATTAAAAATAAATCAATAATTCTTTGAATTTAATAAACAGCAACGAGTTTTTGATTTATATGAATTGTGTTGTGAAATTTTAAGCTTAAAAATGTTTTACTAGCAGACCTTGCAGTCGAACATTGTTCTTTTTACAACCTCTTTTAGTGCGAAGTGTACAAGATAGTTTAATAGTCGTTGCAAAAACTCATCGCAACCTTATTAAAATTGTCTAATTGGAATTTAAATTTCCCGCTGGGGATTCAGGTGGTAGCTCTGCAGTAAAAAGTGTCAAGTTGCCACATTTATTTATTTATTTCCTGATATTGTCATTCTATTGACACTTCAGTTTTGTATTACGAGTTTTTAATTTACATGAATTGTGTTAAAATGTTTACTAGCAGACATTTGCAGTCGACCAATGTTCTTTTTAGAACCTATTTTAGTGCGAAGTGTACAAGATAGCTTAATAGCCACTGTAAAAAACTCATCGCAACCATATTTTGAACGGGAAAGCGGTAGTAATGGTCCTTTATGTCCCTTAAGTGTTGTGAAGAAGGTGAGTTTTGTTGATGTAAATAATAACTGTTTATATATTTATAATTAATTTAATTTTGTTTCCTAAAATATTTTGGTTAAAAGAAAATATGTAAAAGTGGGCAATCCTGTGCCGGTCAAGCTTAATCATATGACTTTATTTGGTATGATATACGTATATCATAGGTGGTTCTATTAAAAATAAGCAAAGTTAAATATACTTGTTCCTTCTTCTGTTTCTATTTCTCGTAAATAAAATAAAAACAATAAAACTGTTTACCTTTATAATAATGCTAAATTTCTTGGTAATCGACGACTCCACCGCTTTAATTTGGTGCACCGCCCCTGTATCCGGATTAATCTTAAAATATTCGGAAAAAGTCTCTGGGCTGCCACTGACAAACGAGTACTTGATTGGCGAATTGATCGTGTCCATGTCGATGGCTTGGACTTTTTCGGGAGACACGTTCAAAACACCCTGGTTGACACCACTGGAGATCTGCAAAAGAAAAAGAAAAATTAACTAATGTTTAGTCTGTACGATTTAAGGAAGATTTTGACAGACGATGACAGAGAGAAAGGAAAATGACGGCATACCAATTTATTTTTTTTTCGCTAAAAATGTTTTTCTATATTTTTAATATCTAAATGATATCAGTCATGCGTAGTTTTTCGGTGTTCAAAAAGTACAATTAGAATTAATAGAATATCCTAGCAACAGCTTGCGTTAGTCAGTTGTATCCATACAGAAAACTTAATATTTAGCGTATAAAACAATCAACTTTTGATTTCTAACTACAATTTCTCTTGACGGAAGATAATCAAAGGCCAAAATGACATTTCTCGCAAATTTTGAAAGATAAGTTAAAAGTTTGATAACTTTTTCTACAGTAGCGTGGCAAATTCTCGCGGGGACCCCCCGCAAGCTTTGTTAGGGGCCCCCCTAAGTATACTCAAGAATCCCTTCAAATACATCATTATTGTGATATCTGCTTGAAACATATTTTTTAACAAGAACCACAATGTGATATTCTTTTATATTTTGATAATTGTTTCAACATTTATTTATTTATTATTATAGTACCTACTCTTAAAATACTTAAACTAGAAAATAAACATTGATGCTTCTAATTAGTCAAAGTTTTATTAGAAAAAAACAACTCAACATATCTACTCATAACTAAAACGCATGCAAATGTGAACAAGAAATTTTAAATATTTATGAAGTACCCCTATGGTATATTAGAAACTCTATTCCTTTTTCTTCGACCTTAACAAAAGGAACTTGTTTACGAGGCTGTCCAAATCGACCTCTTTGGCTCAAAATTTATTTAGTTTAATGCTACGGAAAGCGGGATCATAGTTATCGGAAAATGTAATACTTACTATTAAGTGTAATCATATTTTCATGTTTTTGTTATTTTCTCTAAAACAGATTAAACCATTTTAGAACAAACAAATTTAAAAAAATTCTGGAGTATATCTATACCAATATATAAAATCCTTAAGTGACTGACTCACTTATTAATCATGATCCTGCTCAAACCACTCAACGTAAGAAGCTCAATTTTGGCATACAGGTTGATTCAAGGGTGTAGAGGTTCGATAAGAAGGGATTTTTCGAAATTTCAGTTCTAAGAGGGTGAAACCACCCCTCAAATATTACAATATTTTTTATTTAAAAAACCGTCAAGTTTCCGAAAAAACGCTTAAACACGTATATTTTATTTTCTTTTTTTTACATATTTTAAGATTTTTTAAAATTTTTTTAAAAATTTCGAAAAATCTGGTCATTGATTAATCACGATTCTGCTTAAAGCGCTTGACGTAAAAAGCAGATTTTTGGAAAACGGATTGACTTTAGGGTGTAGAGGTTCGATAAAAAGGGATTTTTCGAAACTAGAATTCTAAGGGGTGAAACCACCCATCAAATATTAGAATATTTTTTATTTAAAAACCGGTGAGTTTTTCGGAAACACTCTTAAACACGTATATTTTATTTTGTTGTTTTACATATTTTAAGATTTTTAAAAAATTTATACAGGGTGTTACATAAAATATGACCATTGAGTAACCACGATTCTGCTTAAACTGCTTGACGTTTAAAGTTGATTTTTGGCAAACGAATTGACTGTGGGGTGTAGATGTTCGATAAGGAGGGGTTTCTTGGATCTCAAATTCTAAGAGGGTGAAAACGCCCCTCGAATATTACAATATTTGTTATTTAAAAAACGGTTAGTGTTTCGGGAAAACGCTTGGACACGCATAATTTATTTTGTTTTTTACATATTTTGAAATTTTTTAAAAAATCATACAGGGTGTTCCAAAAAGTTGGGTAATTGATTAACCACGATTCTGCTTAAACTGCTTGACGTAAAAAGCTTATTTTTGACAAACGGATTTTTTTCAGTCAAATTCCAACGAGATGAAACTACCCCTCAAATATTACCAAGTTATATAATAATATCGCCATATTGTTTTTTCTCATGCTGACATAAATGTGAGAAAATTTTATCCAGTTTGTATGTTAATGGAAATTCTTGCTTTGCTTTATCATCACCATTACAAATGATTAATTTTTATATTATATTCTTAGTATCAAAATAAAGAAGGAATTTTTCTCATAATGCCAATAATAAAAAAGTTTTTCCTCTTGTAAAGACAATTCGGGGATATACTGTGTATAATTCTTATATATATTAATAATACCCACCAAAAATAAGAAATCACTGGATAATCTCATAAATTTTCTTTCAAGAAAGTTTAAAACACTGATTAATAAATAGTAATATATTAAAAATATGTCTGACGAAGTACAAAGATTCAGTCTGTAAGCATCTTGGTCATAGAGGGTGGGATTTAAGGGTTGTAATAACTCCCCCTCCCCATAATTAATTTCCTAGCCCCGCCTTAAGAACAGATATCAATAAATAGGTGTCACAACACCTTATGGGATCACTTACTCTATCGCCTTTGCCAGCAAAGGAATTTAGAGCTCTTAAGTTAAGTTCACATTAAGTTAAAGTTCTCTACGGTATAAAAATGAGAAGGAAAGTTCTTTACCAAGATTATAGGTATAGTTTTTTGTATAAAAAAACCAATGGAGGTCATGTATGGATATGTGCTGAGGAGAGTTGTTGTTGTCGTACGAAATTGGTAGTCAACAAGAAGAAAGAAATCAAACAAATTGGGAAACATGATCACAAAAGAAAAAAGCCATCAGCAACAGTACAACAGCCATCAAGAGGGACATTGTTGGCAGAGCTGAAGAAGAAGAAAGAGGCTAAGCCGGAAGAAGAGAAATTAAAAAAACTGAAGGAAAACATGAAAAACGAAGTCAAAAAGCTTGATTCTAAAAGGCACTTTAGGGAGACATTTTTACGCAGGATATTTTTGAGAAAGTTGAAAAAGTATGTTTAATTATTGTGTTTGATCTGTTAGAGAGAGAGAGAGAGAGAGAGAGTTATATCACAGTTAAAAGAATGGCTTTGTGATAAAAGATGGCCAGTGATTCAAAGACAGTTTTTTATCATTTGATGTACCATTTATTATTAGTGATTTTTTTGTCTTATGTTTTTTAATTAATTGTCTATTTTTTTTAAATTAATTGTCTATTAATTTTTTGTCTATTATTTTTTTAATTAATTGTAGAGATTATACAATTTTTTGACTGTTTATGTATATTTTTACTTTTACTTTAATATATGTATTTAAATAGAAAACGACAATAAAATTATTGTTGAAAATTATAATAGACTTGCAATTTTAATAAATAAAATGTTTTTAAGTTTCTACGTATTATTTCTTTTATTTGTGTTAATTTTCTTGTAGTTTTTAATTTTAGTTATTAATGATAAGTTAAAAAATTAACTATTATAATTTTTTTGTTTAATGTTTGTTGATAAAAGAACTTTATTTTTATAACACGGGAATTTGTTCTTTTTTAAATAAAAAGTTTTGTGGATACGATTTTATTTTTTTAATTGTAGCAAATATACAATTTTTAGACTATTTATTACATTATTTTTTTCGATATTATTATATTATGTATGTATTTATATACCGGGTGCTTCTCAAAAGGGGCTCACCCCCCATAACTTTTTTATTTTTTCAGATAAAAAAAACGGTATTTGTTATGTTAGTGTATAATAAAAATTAGGATTGTGTGATTGACGTATTCAATTGTTTTTGGTCACTTCCTGTTTCACCGGAAATGACTACAACTTTTGATTTTTAAATGGCATCGTCGGTATTTTTTTACTTTATTCGATAGAAAATGACATTTTGAATAGAATGACATATCATATATGTCAACTTTTGACATTCTCGCTTAATAAAAAATCGTATTTTAAAATTCAATCTAGAGTGCCATGACTATGTTAAAAAGACTAATTCTTAATCAAGGAGCCTCGGAAAAATTGATTTGGTCGTCTAATGTTTTTAGTGTCTTGTCCTGGTCAGTTAGAAAATGCTTAAATCGTATTTTTAATCATATCTCAATTTTTTCAAATGGAACGAGGGTGGCTCATTAGCATATTTGGAAAAGGCATATTTTACGAATAATTTGATACCACACATTTGGTATTTCAAGTCAAATTTCCGTTACGATCTGCAAGTTATAGTTTCAAATAAACCATATGCGAAAATGTCAAAATTTGACAAATGATATGTCATCCCATTCAGAATGTCATTTTCTATCGAATAAAGTAAAAAAATACCGACGATGCCATTTAAAAATCAAAAGTTGTAGTCATTTCCGGTGAAACAGGAAGTGACAAAAAAAATTGAATAAGTCAATGAATCCTAATTTATGTCATATACTAACGTACCAAATCTCGTTTTTTTTATCTGAAAAAATAAAAAAGTTATAGGGGGTGAGCCACACTTTTGAGACGCACCCGGTATATCTATTTAATTTTTTTATTTTGTAACGAGCACTGTTTACTTACTTGTTTCGTCAAACTTTTTGAATCCATATTTGCTTTTTTATACAGAGTGTTTTATAACTGAATATTTTCAATTTAAAGAAATATGTTTATTTTTACGATGGAAGTCCAAAATTCTTTTAGGTTCAATCCAATCATGTTCGTTATCTCTTTTGGTTTATAAATAAATGCCTTTATTGTCAAAAAATTTTACAATTTGTAGACAAAGGTAAAGTAAACAAACAAAGTAAACAAACAAGGGACCAAAACAAACAAACAAAAGATAATACAAAACATACAAATAATATTGTCAGTCAAGTTAGCTAAATATATCTATGTTGCTGATGCGGCTTTATTTCTAAATTGAAGGGTCCAATGCAATAACCGGCTAAGTCCAATTTTTGGGTAAATTTAGTTAACAACATATTCTTGCACAGTTTAAAATGCTCTATCGAACCATGCAAGAACGAGGTTTCTGATATAAAAAATAAAAATAATATTCATGTTTTGTTGGTTGCCAGCAAACAGTACTGTGCAAGAACCGGTCAAGTCCTGGACTTAGCTGGTTCTTGCG